TCTTCCACACAATGGTATTTTTATGACACAGTAGAAGGTTATGGGTTTTATTGTGAGGTTTTTATTCATGAGCATCTCATTGATTTCCTATTTCTGATGTCACAGGCAAGGAGGTGCTAGGGATTGGTAGGGAGATCTCAGCATGGGACATATATATTTCCAGTACATGATAGGTAAGTTTCCAGGAAAGGGCAGGGCTGGGATAGTAAGCAGCTGAAGGAGAAGGTCTGTCCAAAGCACAGCCAACTTGCAGAAACTGAGAACTGCAAGACAAAAAACAAAGAGGTTTTTTTTAGCTATCACAGAAGTACAAAACATCAATAAAAAAGAATGAACCTTAGCTTTTCCTTTTATTAGGATCCCATTTAGGGTAGTTCAGTAAATTACAGGATCCTGGGCATTTTCTCATGATTCTCTGGGACAGAATGCAATCTGACACAGGCTATACATACACATTCATATTAAACATGTTGTAAAGAAGAATTAGAACCAATGGGAGGAACTATGACAAAGAAGAAACAAACAAACAAAAAAATAAAGAAAAAGTAAATAGTATGCTTCAATCTGCATTCAAACTCCATAGTTCTTTCTCTGGATATGGATAGCATTTCCCATAATGAGTCTTTTGGAATTGTCTTAGATCCTTGAATTGCTGAGAAGAGCTAACTCTATCAAAGTAAGTCATTGAATAATGTTGCTGTTACTGTTTACAATGTTCTCCTGGTTCTGCTCATTTTACTCAGCATCAGTTCAGGCACATCTTTTCAGGTTTTTCTGAGGCCTGCCTGCTCATCATTTCTTATGGAACAATAGTATTCCATTACATTCATATACCACAAATTTTTCAGCCATTCCTCAGTTGATGGGAATCCCCTCAGTTTCCAATTCTTGGCACCACAAAAAGAGGTGCTATAAATATTTTTGTACGTGTGGTCCTTTCCCCATTTTTATGATCTCTTTGGGATACAGACCTGGAAGTGATATTGCTGGGTCAAAGGGTATGCACAGTTTTTTTGGGGGGCTGGGCAATATGACCTGCCCAAGGTCACACAGCTACTAAGTGTCTGAAGCTGGATTTGAACTCAGGTCCTCCTGACTCCAGGGCCAATACTCTATCTACTGTGCCATCTAGCTGCCCCTAGTACACATGGTTTTATAGCTCTTTGGGCATAGTTCCAAATTTCTCTCCAGAGTGGTTGGATCAGTTCACAACTCCACCAACAATGCATTAGTGTTCTAATTTTCCCACATCTTCTCCAACATTTATCATTGTCCTGTTTTATCAAGTTAACCAATCTGATAGGTGTAATATGGTACCTCAGAGTTGTTTTGATTTGCATTTCTCTAATCAATAGTGATTTAGAGCATTTTTTCATATGACTATAGCTTTAATTTCTTCATCTGAAAACTGCCTATTCATATCCTTTTTTTAAATTAATTTATTTTGATTTATCAACAATCACTTCCATAAGCTTTTGAGTTTTAAATTTTTCTCCCCCTGCCTCCCCACCTCTCTCCCCAAGATGGCATGGATTCTGATATAGGCTATACATATACATTCCTATTAACCATACTTTCACATTAGTGATTTTGTGACCTGGAGAAAGATTCAGCAAAGGAAACCCAGCATGGTGCCTGGCACAAAGTAAGTGCTTAATAAATGCTTGTTGATTGAATAGTCATGATTAATCCTCTATCTTCTACTTAGGAAGCTGATTTTTTGAGCCCCAAGAGTAAGTCTTTACATTTATCCCTACTGAATACCACCTTACCAGATTTAGCCAAATACTTTAGCCAGTCATACACATATACATATATGCATGTACATCCTAACAATCAATTTCTCAGCCATACCTTCCAATTTGCTGTCATCTTCAAATCAGATCACCATCTTTGATGTTAGATATGTCACTGATCAAAATGTTAAAGCACACAGATCCCCAGAACATTCCTTGGAAAATATTCTGCCAAGCTGACATGAAACCACTGATGACTAATGATTATTCAAGTCTATTCACTCAACTAGTCCTAAATCCACTTAATTGGATTACTATCTATTCCATACCCTGCCTTCTTTTCTTTTTTCAATTTTATTTTATTTTAGACTCAAACACCAGAACACAAATACAAAATAGAGAAAAGGAAAAAAATGTATCATAAACTTAAACACTGGAACTTAAATATACAGAAAAGAAAAAAAAGGGATGTTATGTGCATAACAGATCATAAGAGAGGATTCAAAATATGTAATGATAAATTTTTGTTTCAAGAAAGCCTACATGATAAATACTACATATTGTATTGAGAGCTGTCCATCTTTTCTTGGCTTTCTTGTAAGTTTTCTTTTGTTTTCTGCTGTGTACTTTTTACTTTGTTCTTTTTTTGCCCTTCTCCCCGACCCCAAGGCTCCAATTAAGTGCAGATATATTTCCATATATATATATATATATATATGTATTCATATACATGTATACACATATATATACACACATATATAGACATATGCTTTCCCTAACAGATTCTACTCCTGCTTTTATGTTCACGCATATCTCATTCCCAATCCTTCCGAACTCTTTTTATTTTTTTGACTAGGCAATGGAGTTAAGTGACTTGCTCAAGGTCACACAGCTAGTGTTATGTGTCCGAGGCCGGATTTGAACTCAGGTCCTCCTGAATCCAGGGTCAGTGCACTATCCACTGCACCACCTAGCTGCCCGTGCTCCAAACTCTTCTACTTTACTTCCACCTTGCCCTTCTATTACTTAGCCTAACCCCCTCCAAGGGTCTCTCCCTATGCTCCCATTCCTATAAATCTAAACAGTCTTCGGTAGCCCCCTATAACCTATTCCTTCACCCTCCCCTCTAGAGATCCCTCCCTTGTCCTCTCCCTACTCACTATCCCCTCATCATTTTATTTCTTCTAAATTTAGAAGACTTTTATACTCTTCTAAATATGTATGTATTGTTCCCTCTTAAATCCATTCCTGATGAAAGTAGGTTACCAGAACTACTAGCCCTCCTCCCCCATCTAATTCCTCTGCGTCGATTCTTCCTCTTGCCTCTCACTTGTATAAAATAATTACTCTTTAGCTGTTCCTAAATGATTTTACTTTTTAAAGTCATATCATAGTCAGGTCTATCCCAATCTTTCTTACGAACTACCCAATTACTAACGACAATCTCAGACATACATTTTACATATATAAAAAGTAAATGGTCTGTCCTTATTGAATCCCTTGTAATCAATCTTTAGAATGTACCTTATGTTTCTCTTGGCTCTTATATGTCAAATCTTGTATTAAGTTCTGTTTTTTTTTTTAAACAAAGTCTTGAAAGTCTGACAGCTGATCAAATGTCCATTTTTTTTTCATTCAGGACTATGCTTAACTTTGCTGGGTATGTTATTTTCGGCTGGAACCACAGTTCTTTTACTCTTCGAGATATAGTGTTCTAAGACCTGCAGTCCTTTAGTGTCTCTGCTGCTAGGTCTTGTGTGATTCTAATTGTGGCACCATCATATTTAAATTGATTTTTTCTTGTTGCTTCTAATATTTTATCCTTGAGGATTTTGGAATTTGACTGTAATATTCCTATGAGTTTTCCTCATTTGATCTCTTTGAAGAGGGGATCAATGGATTTTTTTCTATTTCTACTTTCCCCCCTTGTTCTAAAGCATCAGGACAATTTTCTTTAGTTATTTCTTGCATTATTATATCAAGATTCTTTTTTTGATTATCACTTTCACGTAGTCCAATCATTCTTATGTTTTCTCTTCTTGATCTGTTCTCCAGATCCGTTGTTTTTCTTATGAGATGCTTCACTTTCTCTTTTTTTCATTATTTATATTTTGTTTATTTCTTGATCTCTTACAACTTCGATGGCTTCACCTTGCCCAATTCCAATTTTTAAGGTGTCATTTTCTTCCTTAAATTCTGGATCTCCTTTTCTAATTGGTTGACTTTCTTTTCATAATCTTCTTGTTTTTCTTGGGATTTTTTAAAAAAGTTTTTCCTCTCTCTCATTTGATTTTTAAAGTCTCTTTTAAGTTCTTCTATGAATTCTTTTTGGGCAGGTGATCATTTGACGTTACTTTTGGGGATAGAAGAGGGTTTCTTTGCTTCAGTATCCTCCTTTGAAGATGAACCTCGCTTTTCTCTATTCCTATAACTTTCTGCGGTTAGATTCCTTCTCCTTTCCCTGTGTATTTTTCTGTAGTAATAGCGTAATTTTTGTAGTCACCTCTGGCCCTGGGGTGCCTCTTGCCCCTCTAGCCTGGAACCAAAGCCAAGCCTCCAGCCTATTAAACTGAGTTATCGTCACACTGAAAGCATGCCCACAGCCTCTATCACAGTAAGGAGCACATAGTGGGTCATCAGTGACTCGACTGCTCGATCACATTTCAGTTTCCTTTGCAACAGCAAAAGAGTTTTTATGAAGCAGGAATTTTCAATCTGGGGTCTGTGGAGTTTAAAAATATATACGTTGAGAGCTATTTCAACGTCATTGATTTCCTTCGAAATCCTTATCTATTTTACTGAATTAATCTTTTTTGGGCAATTGGGGTTAAGTGACTTGCCCAGGGTCACACAGCTAGTAAGTGTCAAGTGTGGTCTGAGGCCAAATTTGAACTCAGGTCCTTCTGACTTCAGGGCCAGTGCTCTAACCACTGTGGCACTAGCTGCCCCTTGAATTAATCTTAAAATATGATTCTGAGAAGGCTTCACCAGACTGCCACAGAAGCAGTAAAGCATCCCAGCTCTCAAAGTTAGCGGCATCGGCCGGAATAGTAGAGCGACCGCGGCTCAGGCCCTCTCAGTCCGGCTGAACGAGGGGAGCCGGCATGGTTTAGGGCTGGGCCTGGGTAGGGGAGGTAACGGATGCTCCCACGCGAGCCAATCTCTTACCACGTTTGCCAGCCGGGGCGTAGGACTTACGGAGCTTCAGAGAAGCATCGCCGCCCTCAAGGGAGGACCCGGGAGCCCGGTTGCTATTAGCAACAGTCCAGTATTGCTTCCTGCTCCCACTTCTCTCCAAGTCCCCGCCGAAATCCGTTTCCGGGGCCAGGGGTCGTCCCCGCCCACCTCCGCGTCTTCTTCAAGATGGCGAGCGGCGGCGGCGGCGGGGGGGCGTCGGTTGCTGCCCTCTGGAGCGAAGTGAATCGTAACGGTCAGAACGGCGACTTCACGCGCGCTCTCAAGACAGTGGACAAGAGTGAGTGCCGCGCCCCTCGCAGGCGCCCGGGCAGCTCGGACTGCCCCCTACCCCCACCCCGGGAGGCGCCCGCCGCCTCGGGGAGATGTGGCCTCTTTCCGGCGCGCTCCCGGCGGAGGAGGGGAAGGGGAGAGGCGGAGACGAGTCGAGGGACCCTAACCGCTGGCCCGCCGGCCCGCGCGTGTCTATGCGACGCAGAGGCGCGTGACCGTGGAGGAGGCCCGCTGTCCGCCGGCAGCGTTGTCCCCGCTCCGGGCCCGGTCCGCAGCGCCCCGCCCCAGGCCGGCCGACTTGGGTTCCTCAGTCCCTTTAAGCCACGTGTACTTAGCCTCTCTTCCCTCACCCCATCTCCAGGAAGCTCGGCGGGGGGGGGCATTTAAAGGCCCCGCAGCTTCTCTTCCCTTCCCTGGAGAAATTGCCTTCTCACCTGGCCCCTCCCTCTCCGTGCTTTGCCAGCTCGGCGAATGAGTCCTCTCCAGGACTCTGGGGGTGGGGGGAGCAGCCACAAACTAGGGGTTCGGCGTTTACAGATCACAAATTCAATCGCTTTCTTTTATGGAGGTCATGAGGGTTACCAAGCACTTTTGTAACAGTTTTATTATCCCCATTTCACAGGTGAGGAAACTGAAGTTCACAGAGAGACAGTTAATCAGTTTCATGCAGTTGACAGGCAGAACTTGACTCCCAATCCAGCCTTTTCCGGCTACACCAGGCCGCTTTAAGAAACTTGTAGTCCAGCTGGGGAGACAGGCCCATGTGCATTTTGCCAACAAGTACAGTATATGTTGGAAGTGTTTGAAGGGCAGAGTAGAAGCTCTTATCTCGGGAATAAAAGGGAATAGAGAACTGAGCTATCTTTGTTTTTAATTCGAGTAATTCAGGTTTGGTGATTTCAAAATGTGCTCATTAGTATTAAAGTTATCTAATATATATCCTTATTTTTAACATATTTAGTAATATCTAATACTTATAATAAGTGTAAAAGTTATCTAATAGCAAATAGCATTTTTATTTTATCAAAATTTCTTTATATAATAAATTATTATAACAGTCTAATTCTTAGTTAAAGCAATATACAGAGCATAGATTCCAGCTTTCTATTCCTTTTTAAACTTAATGCTTAATAATTTCCATCTAGTCATAGAGTCTGGCCCAAGGTTCTGTAGGTTAGTAAGTAGTAAAGCTGAGATTGAAGGGCAGCTCTTTCCAAATCCAGTGCTCTTTACACTATACCTGTCTTCCTCTAACCTGATGAGTAGAGCAATCCCTGTTACAGACGGTAGGGTGAGCATTAATGTCATGTGTGATGTGTTTTTTTCTGTTATGCTGAGCCTCACAGAGAATGCTATCTGTATGTGGACTTTTGGATGTGATAATAAATGGGAATGGAGGTATGAATGTTAATAGCATAATAGCAGCATTAGTATTCCTTGATACTTTTTGTATAAACTAGATGTCTTGTAGGCACTTAAACTTGTATTCAGAATAGAACTAATCTTCTCGCTGCCCCAAATCTACTCTCTAGGTTATCACTTTCCTTCTAGTTTGCAACCCTGGAATCATCTTCATATCACTATTCCTTACTGCCCCTTACCTCCTGAACATTCCTTAAATTTGTCCATCTATCTTTTTATTTCCATGCCAAGAAAATCCCAAATAGGGCCACAAAGAGTCCAACACAACTGAAGAATGACTGAACTCTACCATACCACCTGAGGCCCTCATCACTTCTCCAAAGAACTATTGCAATAGTTTTTCTAATTCATCTCTGTACAAGTCTCTCACCTCTCAGTTCCATCCTGATTTAGGGCAGCTAGGATTTGCAGTGGATAGAGTACTGGGCCTGGAGTCAGGAAGACCTGAGTTCAAATCCAGCCTTAGCTATGTGACTCTGGGCAAGTTACTTAACACCTATTTACCTCAGTTTCCTCAGCTGTAAAATGGGGATAATAACAGCATGTACCTCTCAGGATCAGAAGAGATAATATTTGTAGTACAGTGTCTGGCACATAGGCATATATAAATTCTTATTTCCTCCCCCTCACCCATTTTTTTCCTCCCCTTAATCCTCCACAGAGCTGCCAAAATGATATTCTTAAAGTCTCAGTCTGACCATGTCATACCCCTCTTAGTAACCTATAGTGGTTCCCTATAACCTCTAGGAATAAATACAGATGCCTCTTTGGCATTCAGAAATCTTCACAACCTAACTCCCTCTTTATACATTTTTTAGTGTCATCAACTGGCTGCTTTGCTTTTTCTTCAGCATGGCAAAATATTCTTCAGTATTTTTGTCTGTCCGCAGCCCTGGAATTCACTCCCTTCTACCTATTAAAATCTTTTCTCCAGAGGGTTACCTTGTCTACATGAGGCCTTTCCTGATAACAGCTCTCAAACGCTACCCCCAAATACCTTGTATTTATCATGTATATATTTAGAAGTACATTATATTCCATTTAGAATATAATCTCCATTAAGGCAGAGACTGTTTTGGTCTTTGTATCTTCATTGTTATATACTTTATAGGTGCTTGTAAATGTCAACTGTTTGACGTGGTAATTTTGTCTAATCAGCTTTTGCTTGCTGCATTAAGGTGAAAAATAATGTTTATATATATAGAAAGCTCTTATAGTTATTTCAAACAATGAGAAAAGTAGTCATGAATTTTCATTGTTAGCATCACTGATTTGGCTTAAATTAATGTGAATTTGATTTTTGGGTAAGGATGAAACTAATAACTATCAAAGCAAGGGAAAAATGAATGCAGTGTTTTTTCTTGCAGTTTTGATGCTTTTTTGATTTTTACATGATGACTTTGTTATATCCCAATGACTTTGGCATCTACAGCCTTTCCATATAACAAACTAGTTAAGTAAAACTAGCCTAAGCTTGTATGCAATCTTTTGTACCCATAGTTCACTACAGTTCACCCAAGAGGAGGGAAATGTTTTATCATTGTCCCTCTGAAGCCAAGATTGGTCATTCATGCATTGTTTTATAAAAGGTTTTTTTTTTAAAAAACCTATTTGCATCACAGGAAATTATCCATCTAGCTTGGCCAATGAAAATGACAGTGGTCCTTAGATTGAAATATGAAAACCCAAAGGGTCTCTGTAGGTGGACAGCTATTCTGTTGCAAGTCTCCATGATTCTCTTCACAGAGTTGGGGAACCTGGGGCATGGAGGCCGCATGTGACCCTCTAGATTCTCAAGTGCAACCCTTCCACTGAATCCAACTTCACAGAACAAATCCCTTTAATAAAAGAATTTGTTCTGTAGAACTTGTAAAACTGTTTAGTAGTAGTGATGTTATACTTTTGTTATGTGAATCTGTCCATCTGGACCTTTTTCGTTCAGGTTATCTTTTCTCAGAATGAATGTAAATAAAATGAAAGTAAAGTTCTGAATGAAATTTTTCATGAAATTACTAGCAAGATGAATTATTAATTGTGGGGTTGTTGTTGGGTTTTTATTGTTGTTTTGGGTACGGGTATATATACTTTTTTGGTCCAAGTATACCCAGTAAGGCGTGGGCCCCAAGATGAAAAGATTTGAGAAGTACTAGAATAGTTTTTACTTTTTGATTGCATTATATTCTTGTAAACTTTTTTTGTTTTGGACCCACAGAAAGTATTGAATTTTGATGTCTTGAGGAAAACCTGGTATATACATTTGTATTATTATTCTTTACTTTACAAATTAAAAATGAAGAAAAGTCACTTTTTCACTGACTGTGGAATTACTTCCAACTTCGGGGTAGGATGGGGTCGGGGTAAGGAAGGCATATAGCAAGGGCCCTGTGTGTTAGGAAGTAAAAAGCACAAAAGATATTGAGCTAAGAACATTGTCTTTATTTAGTCTTACAGATCAACAAAGATGATATAACTGCTCTGCATTGTAAAGTGGTGTGCCTTATCCAAAACGGTAATTTCAAGGAAGCCTTGAGTGTCATCAATTCTCACACCAAAGTGTTAACTGGGTAAGTAATTCAACTTTAGTGATGTTGGAAGTTCTTCATGAACCATCTGTTGATTCAAGTAGAAACACTTTTGTAGATTGCTTTCCAACTTCATTGATTTGTGGCATAGTTTATTTTTTTCCCCTGATAGTGCTTCTGAAAGTAGAGAGTGGTCAGAATTTCAAACAATCTGTATTACACTTGGTAGTCTTAACAAAAACTATGTGAACAAGTTAATTTGGCCTCTTCTACCTCCTGTACTCCAACCTCCTTGTTTATCTTTAAGATACTGTGAAGAAGATAGAGTGGTCTTTTTTTTAATTTTGTTTTTTGGTGAATTGATGTAGGGCATATAAGGAATGATGAAAGTCTTCAAAGGACATTTGGGGTTAATAAGTTTGGGGTTAACTGTCCTCTAGAAATAAAGACATCATTTTATTAATTTGTAATTTTGTCGGTACTATAAACTCACGGTGGGGGAGGAGATTACCTTGACCAATGCAGATTCACAACTCTTCTGTGAATTAACATCTTAGAGTGTGTCTTGGGACTGTCAGTCACACAGCTAATATGTTTCAGAGGTACCTTTCCTAATTCCCAGGACAACTCCCTCCCTACAAGACTGCATTGCTTCTTGAAGAGTTCAAGGGATAAAATAAGTTATAGAGAAAAACATGCTAACAATTAATTACTAGCTTAGACAGAGTGTGTATTGACATCTTCCGTGTTGAATGATGAAAATTACTGCCTTCAGTACCATACCACACTGGTCAGGTGATTTCCATGATCTCTCTGAACCCTGGTTTTTCTCTAATGGAGGTAGTCTTTTAAACTAGTTGGAGTTATTTCTTCCACTCCTTCCTTGTCACTTTCCCCAAGCCAACACACTAGACAGTCCCAAAGATGTGCAAGTCAGTATGGAATTTGGGGCACTGAGCATGGCTGTGTCTACAAATAAAAATATCTGTATCTACAAGCAAAAATATCTACCCAGTCCACGTAATCTTTAGAGAAATACTATTATCATTTCACTGTGCTAAATATGAAATAAGTTTGCATAGGAAGTTTGGCTAGCTGAAGTGGGAATGGTATTAGAAGCAGTGTGGTACAGTAGCAAGTCTTGGACTTCGAGTGAGGGAGGCTGGCTCTGAACCTAAATTTTGTCTCTTCCTGGTTGTGAGACCTTAGAGAAGTCCCTCAACCTCCCTGGCCTCAGTCTCATTGTAAAATGAGGGGAGTGGACTAGATGACCTCTGGAGTTCCTTCTTCCTCAAAATCCATGATCATAGGATATTTTCAAGTGGTAGAAGTTAATACAAAGAAACATTATGTTGCCTTTTACCTTAAGAAAAGCCTGTTTTTCTTAAGATTTATGTTGGAAAGCTCTTTCTCATGTCATGTTAATATAGGTTCATTTTGAAGACTACACATAATTGATAGTCTTTCTCTCCTGTGTACTGAATTTATTGCTTAATTAAGTGCTCATTATTCTCTTTTGACATTTCCATCCTTTTTTTCTTGCTAATGATTGAGTTTTGGCGTTTTGAGCTGGTTAGGAAGGATTTACAAGGCTTTTTAGAATTACAAAACTCTTAAGATATGCAATAAAAATAATTGTTTTATTGTCTTTGGAGCAAGGAAAATTTGGTATCCTGCTGATTGATCATTTCCTTTATGAAAATTAAACAAGGGTAGTATATAATAACAATTCATTTGTTTCATTTAGACATAGGAGTGTCTTAAGAGGTTAGATGTCATTTCACTATTCCCCCTAATCATATGCTGATTTGTTGCTCTTGCAGTGATACTGTTTCCTTTGAGAAGGCATACTGTGAATACAGGCTGAATCGTATTGAGAATGCCTTGAAAACAATAGAAAGTGCCAGCCATCAGACGGATAAACTAAAGGAACTTTACGGACAAGTGGTAATCACTACTTTAAACATGTCTGAGAAGATTTAGATAGGTTCATGGATAGTGTCCCAGTAATATGGATCCTTTCCTGATATCTACAGTTGAAAGTCATCTCTCCTTCCTCATATTTAAACAGTCTTGCCAGGATCTTTCTTTTGCTCTCACCTTATTCTTTGTGTCTTCCTTGCCTAAGCACATAATACTAGCTCCCATTAGATTGTGAAGTCCTTGAGGGGAAGGATTATGTTGCTTAGTATTCCTGGCTTCTGGCAAAATGTTTTGCATGTAGAAGGTACTTAATAAATATTTTCAGGACTAAATTATGAATTGTATATCCTTCATTTCTTGAGGTTAACAGTGGGAAGGGCAAAGATTGCTCTTCTCTAACGTGCTTAATTTTCAGAATACTGGATTTGATGTGTTATGGGATAGGCCAATTTTTTGTTTCTTTGTAAACAATTTTGATGAAGTTAGTGGAAGTTATATGCTGTTCACATGTACTGGGAAATTTGTTTTGTACAGAAAATGGTGGCTATAACAAAGCAAAATGGAAAGGATAAAAAGCAAGATGGAAAAAAAAGGATGGAAAGCTGGAAAGTCTCATTATGGAAGGGACTATTGGATACTTTTGTTGTATCTAATATTGTTCCAGTTAGTGCTTAGCAATCTTTTTGTATGGAAGTCAAATTATATTTGTGTATATATGTATATATATTATGTATATGTACATGTATTAAATTATATTTTTTTAATGGATTTAGGGGCATAAATTAAGGCTTTCTTGGCCTTATAAAATTTTCCTCAGATTTTAGAAAAAGAAAGGTAGTGAAAGTGATTTGCCTTTCAGTTGAATGATTTATTTAGATGGCATATCAAGCCTTAAAAGGAGATATGAATTTACAGTGTTAAAAAGCTATAAGGATTAGTTGAAAATGGCATTGTAAAAATATTGGTACCGTGCAAAATTTGCCAAAAAAAAAGAAAATGTCCAAAGAATGTTGACCATTCTTTATAAATTGGAATTTTCCTATTTAGAACTTTAAGAAAGTATGAGCTTATAAGTACTACCAATGTGTGTATTTGACAGCATATTTTTTTGTTTACTGACTTTCTCTTCAGTTGTATAGGTTGGAGCGTTATGATGACTGCTTGGCTGTGTACCGAGATCTCATCCGAAACTCTCAAGATGATTATGAAGAAGAAAGGAAAACAAACCTTTCAGCAGTGGTTGCTGCCCAAAGCAACTGGGAAAGAGTAGTACCAGTGAGTTTCCTTACATACTTATTCATCCTTGAAATCATGTTTCATTCTAGTAATTGACTTGGTAATTTGCTCCATAACAGGAAAACTTAGGCCTTCAAGAAGGCACTTATGAATTGTGCTACAATACTGCATGTGCACTAATTGGACAAGGCCAGCTGAACGAGGCACTGAAAATCTTACAAAGAGCAGAAGGTAAAAATGTTTCTAGAATTTTAAATTTAACAGTTGTACAGCTACGCAAAATGCCTTTCCAAAAAATGTCAGCTTTATGCATCTCTAGCTGGGATTTAATGTTGGAGAATGGGGATTTGAATTTCCAGTCTGTGGGCAGCCAGATGTTAAGTGCCTAAAGAAGAGACCCTCTTTCTCTAATTTGCTTTCTACAGTAACATGTTCCTGTAGACACATTTTTATGATGGAATATATTTAGCTTATAGAAGAGAAGACCTGGGAAGAACATGATAATTATCTCCAAACATTGGAAGGATTGTCATGTAGAAGAGGGATTATGCTTAATTTTCAAAGCTCCAGAGGACCAAACTAGGATAAGTGGATACAAGTTGTGGGAAGGCAATCCTGGCATGAAGGAAGAAATAATGTTCTGATATCTGTATCTCAAAGTGGAGTGGCCTGCTTCTTGGGTTATAGACAATCAAGCAGAGCATAGATGACCACTTACTGAGGATGTTATAGGATGGACTTATATATACATAACTGGATTACATTATCTTTAAAGTCCTTTTTGGAGATATACTCCCACATTGGAGGAGGGGGCCATTGTGGTATAGTGGATGGAGTGCTGACCTTTGGAGATGGGAAAGTCTTTGTTCAAGTCTTGTCTCTGATATGTACTTGCTGTGTGACCATGGGAAAGTCATATAACTGCTCAGTGCCCTAGGCAGCTCTTTAGGAATATAAGTTACAGGTGTTGGCCTGTATCAGTGGCAGGAGTTTCCTTTGCCAAACCTATTCATCCTATTCTCTGAGTCATCTCATTCATCTTATGTCATACCAACACCTCCAGATCATTTTAGTGTTAGCACACTTACTTTGTTTTTTTGTTTTGTTTTGTTTTTGACAAATTCTAGGTGGTCTTTGCTATTAAGAGATAATCTGGTATCATCAATAATAGCATTCTGTCCTATTTAATATTTTCATAAGTGTGATATTTACGGAGTTGGTTCTTTGTTAACTTATTTCATGATACCTTTTAAATTCTTGATGAGGAAGAGAAATAGGATGTTTGATTAGAAAATGTTTGACTCTTCAAATAAATTTAGTAAGAATGATATGCTGTCATCTTATGACTCCTGAACCACTCACGCTTTTTCTTTTTTGACACATTTTCCCCCGTAGAAGTCATGAATTTGAGATGGTTGAGAACAACGTAGGTGGAGGAATTGATGAGAATAATGATGGGCAAAGTAGAATAATGATGGGCAAGGTAGAAATAGCGTGTACTTACGTGTCCCATAGATCTGGGAGGTAGTGAGAGCAAAGGAGAAGACTAGATATTCATAAGAGGCAGTTCAGTGTATATAGCAGAAGAAAAAGTCTAAAGAGATGGAATTAATGAGATGATAACGTCTGTAGTATATTTGATGCTCTCAGTAAACCTTGATTTTGCAGATAATTAAAAAACTTGACTCGTAAAATCTTCTCTATGGACTTTTGACCTAGCCCTGTGGAATATAGAGAAGAGTTATAATCTAGCCTAAGTTAATTTTTAAAATATTTTATTTCCTATAGATCTTTGCCGTCAGTCACTCTCAGAAGACTCTGTAAGTATGCCATTTTAGGCATTTGAGATCTAATAATTGTTAGACTTAGTGATTTATTGGTTTTATGAAATATGTGGTGATTTATTGACCGAACTAATTAAATTGTTGAAATTCTGCTATGTGCATTTGGTCGTGAAGTGCCATTGAATTGAAAGTCTGGGTAGAACTGAAGCTTGGACAACTGTTACATATTCTTTTGAACAAAATATGTTCCCTTGTATTTAAGATGTACCTACAAAAAATAAACGTTAGAGAACTTCATACATCTCCATTGTTGCTCCTGTTTTTTGGATGATCATCTATGTCTAAGGAGTCTGTGTTTTCCTTCTAAAAGTTTTCTTTATATTTACTACTCTCAATCCATATAGTCATTTCAACCTGGAGATTACAAAGAGTCATTGAATCACAGAGTCAAAAGAGACTTTAGAGACGGGCTCCTAAAATCCGTTACTGAATGAGAGACTCTTTTTTGTGACACCCCACAAATGGTCATCCAGTGTTTGCTTAAAGATTTCCTATGGGGGCAGTCCACTTCTGAGGCTGCCCATTCTAGGCTTGGAACACTATATTTGTTATGTGGTGTTATTTCAGATTAAAACCTTATCATATTTTCTTATCTAGGATGTGACTGAGGAAGACATACAAGCAGAACTAGCAATCATTCATGGTCAGATGGCATATATTCTCCAACTTCAGGGTCATACAGAAGAGGCTTTACAGCTTTATAATCAGATAATAAAATTAAAGTAAGAGATTTATGAAAGTGATATGTTGTATTCTTTCACAAGGGTTGGGTTTATTTTTAATGGTCTTCATATTTTGACTGTCATTTCTTGTCTGTAGGCCAACAGATGTGGGATTGCTTGCTGTAATTGCAAATAACATCATTACAATTAACAAGGTATGAACAGTTCTAAATGAAGTCATCATTACCTCTGCACTGTTTGGTAATGAATGCTCCTTTTTTCATAGCAAACCAGAGAAGTTCTGTTGGAACAGAATCTAAGGGGAATTGTTCTGGTATTCAATTTTTACATTATTTCATATGAAAGTTAAGCTTTCCTTTGAGTAGAAAATTCATATTATGGGGCATAGGTTTAAGAGTTTCCTTTCCTTTCATTTTAGGTAAACTATGTACAAATGTAGTTTTGTGTGTGAATTGGTAAGATTTCTCTGTTTTGTTTTGTTTTTTAAACCAACCTTTTAGTGTGTATTTTTGCAGTTTATTAATTGTTAGACTTTTTCATTTGGGGAAGATTTTAATTTTTGGAGTATATTCAGTGCTGTTTTTCTCCAAGAGTGCATGAGTTAGATGATCAAAAAATTTTATTATCTGTTAGTCAGACTAGGAATCATTTTAGACTGGTTTGAATGAAAGACACACTATTCGTGATATTAATTCATATGCATACATAATCTGCACATACTCATATGGATATAGGAAACAACTCTATTTTGGAACTTTCTGAGATACTATTAAAAGCAACTCCCTTAGTCTGTACATAGTTCATTGAGGTGGGGGGAGAGAGAGAGGCGCCTTGCTAAGTACTGAATAATATTTTTAAAAATCCTGCTGTAATTTTGCATAAAAGGTTCTTTAATCAAAAAATATTTGAGTTCCACTTCAAGTTCTATGTATCTTGAACTGTGTAAACAATTAGAAAACCATTAAGTACTTGATTGATAAATCTTAAAAGGAAAGATCTTCCATGTCCCCTGTATGACTCTAAACATTGAGCTAATAGCCAGAGTGTGGTTGTTTATGTTGACCTGAGAATTCAGTCAGTTCTCAGGAAAAGATGTGCTCTGGGAACCTGGCCAGTTCATCAGAATGTGTCAAGTTAATTAATATTCTAAGATGTTTTGCTTGCTCCAGGAACTTGGCCAGTTCCTGGCCCGAGTAAAAACATCTACTAAAATCATGGACACCTCTGGCATGGGGCTTTCTTTGTTAGAGGCCCTATTTAAATCCTAATTGGGAAAGCCATCTTTGGATTCTCACCCATGGACAGGATGCTCTGCCTGGGACTTTCCCAATTGAGACCCTGAAAGCTGGACCCCGGGAATCTCAGGTGTTGGTGCTTCCCCAAATTGCTGATGTTTTCTTATATTATTGCTATCCTTTGTATTCTTAACCTGACTATAGTCGTATTGCTAATTGTATGTTGCTGTAATCTAGCTTTCCTCTACCTATATTATAATTTCAATTAAAGCTACCCCCATTTCTCTTTCTAGGAGTGTATCTTATTGTTGGAGTGAATCCAAACCACATTTTTCTTCTTTAATCACACAGTACTATACTGTGTAGGGCATATTTTTAAATACAGTAGGAATTCAGAGAAGGGAGAAATCATTTGTGGGCTGAAGCAATTATAAAAGGTTTCATGGAAGGAGATGAAATTTGAACTGGGATTTATGTAGGTGAAGGGAAAAAACATGCTGGGAGACATTTGAGTGGACAGGTGGGAATGAGCATGGTGTGATAAAAGAAGGGAGGTTGACCTGGCCAGATTATGGAGGACAGTGAAAACCAGCGAAAGAAGTGTAAATTTGGTGCAGTAGGAAATAGAAAAGAGTAGAATTAAGTGATGAAACTAGTGTGAGCATAATTAGTCTTGCTGAAATATAGAGAATGGAGTAAAGGAAAAATATTTGAATTAGGAAAACAAGGTAAAGAATTTGGTTTCTTAAAGTTTCTTTTAGATGGAAACTTATTTTGGAGTTTTGAGAGCCTGCTGGTGTAATGGAAAGAAAACAGGATCTAGAGTTGGAAGCTCTGGGCTTCATTCCTGGCCCTGCCACTTCCTGAATTTGCTGAGCAAGTCATTCTAGCTCTGTAAGCCTTGATGTCGACCCCTGAAATGAGGCTGGACTAGAGGTTATATCCATATTTTAAACGCAAGATTTATTTGTACATTTCAACTATCCTTTTAGCCTTATTAAAACCAGTTAAACTGGCTTAGAAAGTGTATTATAACTATCCATTTAGATTCATTACTGATGTATTACTAGATGAATTTATTATCAGCTAAAACAGTGCTATGTACACAGTAGATTTTTAGTTTATTGCTTCTCAGTATATTGTACCTTGCATCAACTATTCCTGTCATGCTATGTCTCCTTATAATTTTCAAAAGAACATTCTTTATGTAGTCACACTCTTCCTATGCAAATGTCCAACACCATTCTCAACCCATATAGTCATTTCAACCTGGGAATTACAAAGAATTGTTGAGTCACAGACTTGGAAAGGGACCTGAGAGGCCAGCTTGTAATGAGAGTTCCTGAATAAGTATCTTTTCTGTGACACCCTTTACCTCATAAGTGGATTTCCAGACTCTATTTGAAGATTTCCTGTGAGGGACGATTGACCACCTCCTGGGGCAGTCCATTCTAGTCTTGGGGATCTATACTTGTTGTGGAGTTTTTCCTTATGCTCAACTCTAAATTTTCCTCTTTATGATTTCTACCCATCATTCTTAGTTCTGCCCCCTAGAGTAAAATAGAACAAGTCTAATAATCTTTATTTGTCCTGTCCATTTCTTACTTAACTTTTCATTTTTTTTAAGCCTTTCTCTTCAGTCCCTTCTCTTTCACCTCCTTGATCCAGCTCTTTTTCAACCTTTCATAAAAGATGGAAGTAGAAACTGGACCAGAAGGTGGTTTTTTTTCAGATATTCTTCAGTTTTTTTCTTCCCAGTCTCAATCTCTGGCTTTTTTCACAAATCACCTATGCAACTACCTTCTTTTTCAGCTTACAGCTTTCTGTGTTCTGTACCTTCTCCAGCAGAAGGAGTAATGAATTTCAATATCTTTGTTCTCTTAATTTCCATAGTAAATTTTGAGCTTTTTCTGCTTATTTGTATTAAGAAAGCAAAACTATCCATTGATATCACTGAAATACTTGTTAGCAGCTGAATAAAACAACTGTCTAATTAGCCCACCTTCAATGATGTTGCTAACTGCTAAGGCCTTCCTTACCTGAAAGTAGGTTCATAAGGATCATGGGAATAATTGGTACCTAAGGACATTTGAATCATTGGGCAAATCTGAGTTACTTTATGGTACCAAAGATGGCACATGGAGACTTTGTTGTTGATCAGTCATTTCAGAAGTGTAGACTCTTAATGACCCCATTTGGGACTTTCTTGGAAAAGATTCCTTCCCCAGCTCATTTAACAGATGAAGAAATTAGGCAAACAGGGTTAACACTTGCTTAGGGTCATGTAACTAGTAAGTGTCTAAGGTCAGATTTGAAGTTGGGTCTTTCTGACTCCAGGCCCAAAGCTCTATCCACTGCGCCACTGAGCTGCCTAGTATGAGGACTAAGGATCTCTTAAAGACTAGTTCTGCTTAAGGGTCTTAATAACTGCAATTTCTCTGTAAGGGTCCTATAGAATACATAGTTTATAACCTAACTACATTTAATAAGCTAGATATAATGGCATCTAGCTGCAGAGTCTTTCTGTAACAGCCTTAAGACACTAAAGAACTAAAAGACTGAGTGGCAGGCAGTAATGCTTGTGGATTTTTTTTTATAGGACCAAAATGTCTTCGATTCCAAGAAAAAAGTGAAACTAACCAATGCAGATGGAGTAGAGCATAAGCTTTCCAAGAAACAGCTGCAGGCTATAGAATTTAACAAAGCTTTACTTGCTATGTATACAAACCAGGTAAGTAACAGTCTCCTAATTATTGTTACAAATATACAACCTACCAGTTTTTTTTTTGCTGAGGCATTATTTAAGGCTTAACTCAAATCTGTTTTGTGTCAGTTTATTCTTTCTGTCTTTGTAAAACTACATACCATTTTTTCTCTTTGTATCGTGATCAAACTGTCATTATATCTTAGGTATGATTTGCTTATTATGTAATTTCAGAATCCCTAGAGGAGTTTTTAGAAGGAGAGAATAATATTCATACTTGTTAATTTTGATAAATTCTCTCCATTGTTCTGTGTCTAATCACCCTAAATAAAATAAAATTCTCTAAAGTGCTAATTGTGTCTTAGGTTCAAGAACAAGTTTTCATTTTTATTCTGTGGATATATAGAAAGTGAATTATTAATGTTAATGAGAGCAAAGATCTTAACTCTCCCTGTTCCTAAAATTCAGATTAAATTCTAGTTTAATATCAACTTTCCTTGAGTACAGAATTCAGGATTTATAAAGTTTTTTCCCTTTGGTGCTGATTGAAAGATTACTTAAATTGTTAAGTAATAGCTATTAGACATTGAATTAAAAATATTTAGATAAGCTAGTTTTTAAGCAAATCCTCATATAAAACGTGACTGTAAGCTAATGAGATTTTATTTTAAATGTGCCACTTTTTACACATCCAAATATACATTTACTTTCTTGAAAAACAGCACTGTAGAAAGCTAGACACTTACTGAAAAAAATGCTGATGTTCAGATCATTTTTGAAACTTTTTTTTGACTTTGTGTTTAAACTTGTGACATATTTCCTGGGAGTATTAAGTTTCCATTCTTTGAGGATAGATTTGATTTTATGGAACTGATAGAAATTATGAAGAGGTAAATCTGATGAATAAAAGGGTTGTTCACATTGCTATTAATGTTTTTGGTACAAAAAGGGGTATAACTGTAAGGTGAGGTGTTCTTCTTTTGTGATTCATAAATTAACTGTGAAGACAGTTTCACAAAATGAGTATATACTTTTTGTAATTGAACACGAATTTGTTAAGTTACTTAACTGTATACCATGCACTGTACTCGGCTTTGGGGAATGCAGTGACACAGAGGAAACGAATTCCTTTAAGGAACTCCCAAGACAACATTTTAAGAAGAAAATACATTGAAACATTGAATTTCTTTTTACACGTTAAGGCCAGTCTTGTTACTTTATAGTCACATTTGTATTATGTTTAATAAATTGTACTTTCCAAATAAATGTAACTTTTTCTCAAGGACAAAATGAAAATAAGACTACTTAAAGTGCCATATTTATTTTATGTAATTCATACAAATAAAATGACTGTCTTATTTCACTTGGTTTTATCTCTCTTTTTATTCTTTACTATTTGTCATCATGGTTGTAATAATTTACTTATTTATGTGAAAAAATGAAATCTTATCTACCTAGGCAGATCAGTGCCGTAAAATATCAACCAGCTTGCAGTCCCAAAGTCCTGAGCATCTTTTGCCTGTGTTAATCCAAGCTGCTCAACTCTGCCGGGAAAAGCAACATGCAAAGGCAATAGACCTCCTTCAGGTGATTGAATAATTTATTTTAAAATGGGGTCCCTGACTGTTGTGACCTGCTGTATCATTTTTATCATGATTCAGCAACTCTTAAAACTTGGTAGGAGTTGATGGTAAGGGGTAATTGGTAAATCATAAACCTATTTTAGTTCATTTTTAAATTATACCATTATTAGATTGTTTGCTCTGTGGAATTCTCTCTGTCACAAACACATCAAATGCCTTTTCATTTAGAGACCTAATTTATATTAGTTACAGACTGCTTTCTGTGCTGTCTGGCCACAGATAGCTACTCTTTCTTTCATTCCTGATTTTTAGATTAGTCATAGCCCAGACTTATGAGGTTTTGAAGATACACTCTGGCTTCTGATTTTGCTAATAGGGAAACTGACTACATATTTGGTTTACTTATTTGGAATTTGGGTGAAAAGCAAGCAAAAGCAGACAACATTTATTGGAAGATCTACTTCAGATTTATCGCTTACATTGTGTGAAATACGGTGAAACATCTTCCAGGAAACCTGATGTTTCTGAACATTTTCTAGAGAGAAAAGGTAAAGGGTAGAAGTTATAGTGACCTATACATTTTAAAAAATAACTTATTCAAATCCATAATATTCATAATGATCATTATTCCATATTATAAAGCATGAGAAACTCAAGAATCAACATTTATATATTGCTTTAAGGTTTACAAAGTGCTTCACATTTGATCATCACAACCCCATGAGGGAAGTGATACAGTTGTTATTCTCATTTTAGAAATGAGAAAACAGACTCAGAGAGGTTAAGGACTTGTCCGTGGGCACATACCGGAAAAGTTTTGGAGGAAGTATTTGAACTCAGATCATTCCAGGCTTGAAGCCCAACTCTCTCTGATGTTATCCTGCTTCTCAATTTCCACAACACACCTTTGAGCAGAAATATGTGTTGAAATTATTATCCTTATTCATCTTTCTGAGTAGGATTTTCCTGAATTTCTATGATTCAAATTGTGCCCTGAAAATTTATTCATTAAAAGCTATTTAAAAAGTTAGATAGTTGAGAAATCAAGGGTTGACAACAGTGAGTTTATTAAATAAAATGTATGATGAGTCTCTATTTTTTCCCTCCAAAAATACTTAGGAATTTTCAGAACAGCACCCAGCCAATGCAGCAGAGATTAAATTGACCATGGCACAGCTGAAAATTGCTCAAGGTACTGATATGTTTAATAATTTTGTAATGTCATTTTGTTTTTATATGAAACATGAGATAGTTTGAGTTATTCTGAAATAACTTTGACTTCGCATGAGATTAGAATGTAAGAAGAACCGTGTTGGAGTCTTAAGAATTTTAGCAGTGAATTGGTCTTTTGATGAGATCTTTCTATTTCCTTCTTAGAGGAATACTGGACTGTCTTGACAGTTAAAAAGTTGCAATCAAAAGCATGCTCATAGAATCGTATAACTGAAAAGAATTTTGAAATTATTTAGGTCCACCCTCTAATTTAATGGGTGAGGAAACAGCCCTAGAACTTGACCAGGGCCAGCAGGGCTAATAACTTACAACCAGTTCTGTCCCTCAGGTGCGCCTTCCTCAAACACAGAATCATAGTTTAAGACCTCCTTCCTTCCCATGAGCAACAACAAAAAAGCCATTATATAAATTATCTGTGTATATGTTTTGTTCACATATTTGAATGATTGAGTCAAGCAGTAGAATTGGCTGTATCTGGGGAAGGAAACTTGCTTTCTGAGGTTGTTAGCACTTGTAGCCCTGGGTTTATCTCCTTCATCCCTGTCTCACATAATGAAGTAGTTCTCCTTTCCAAGGCAAACTTCTCTGCATGCACAAGTGATCCCGTTCCATTCCATCCCATCTTCTCTAGCAAATTGCCCCCCTTATCATCCCTACTCTCATACATCTTCAATCTCTTCTGGTCTCCTGACTGCTTTCCTACAGCTTATAAACATAACCATGTCTCTCTCATCCTCAGATCCATCCATCTGTGCTATCATCTCATCTTTCCTCTCTTTTGTGGCTAAATTCCTTGAGAAAGCCATCTAAAATAGGTTCCTCTGCTTCCTTTCCTCTCACTTTCTTAACTCCACAGTCTGGCTGCTTACCTTATCATTTAATCAAAACTACTCTTTCCAGAGCAGCTAGGTGGTGCAGTGGATAGAGCACCGGCCCTGAAGTCAGGAGGATCTGAGTTCAAATCCGGCCTCAGACCAAACGCTTGACACTTAATAGCTGTGTGACCCTGGGCAAGTCACTTAACCCCAATTGCCAAAAAATTAAAAAAGCCCCTACTCTTTCCAAAGTTACAGCGATCTCTTAATTGCTATATTCAGTGGCAGTTTCTCAGTCCTCATCCTTCTTGACCTTTTCTGTAGCCTTTGACACTATTGATTACCCTCTTTTTTTTTTTTTTTGGTGAGGCATTTGGGGTTAAGTGACCTGCCCAGGGTCACACAGCTAGGAAGTGTCAAGTATCTGGGCTGAGACTGGATTTGAACTCAGGTCTTCCTGACTCCAGGGCTGATACTCCACTGCGCCACCTAGCTGCCCCAGTCATCCTCTTCTTTATACTCCCTTCTCTCTAATGATTCTTTCTCAGCCTTCTGTGCTGGATCTTCACCCAGGTTATACCCACTAATAACTGTTGTCGCACAGAACTTTATCCTGGGTCCTCTTCTCTTTTCCCTCCACTATTTCACTTGGTGATCTCATTAGCTCCCACGTGATTTGGTTATCATCTCTGTGCTGATGATTCTCATATCTAGTCCTAATTTCTGTGTTGACCTCTAGACTCGTCTCAGACTACCTGTTTAACATCTTGAATTGGATGTTCTGAAGTCTGCTTAAACTCACTATGTCCAAAACAGAATTCGTTCTCGTTTCTCCACATCCTGTCCTCTTTTGCACTTCTATTACTGTCAAGGGCACCGCTGTCTTCCCAGTCTCCCAGACTCACAACCTGGGTGTCATCTTCAACTCTTTACTTCCTCTCACCCCCATAGCCCGTCTGTTGCCAAGGCCTATTGATTTTTACCTTTGCAATATCTCTTGCATAAACTGCCTTCTCTCCTCTGACATTGCCACTGCCCTGGTGCAGGCCCTCTTCTTCTCTTGCTTGGACTGTTACAGTGTCCTGCTGGCCAGTCTGCCTGTCTTAAGTCTCTCCCCACCCTAGTCCTTCCTTCATTCAGGTGTCAAGAGTGCTGCTCTTATTTTCCTTGCCTAAGTTTTCTCTTCTCTGAGCTGTTCCTTTTAGTTGATCCCGGTGTGGCGTGATCTCTTGTCCTGTCCTCTTGGACAGTTTCTAGCTTGTTGATCTTTCTAAAATATGAATACAATGTGTTAAGACCTCCTGTGGTTTATTTAGGACAGTTTTTTGGGGGACTTCTCATTCTATTTTGTTTTGTAACAGATTAGAAGGAAAGGAAATAGTTTATTTTTTCAGAATAATTTTTTGCATTGCCCATTGGGTGCCCAGGGTCACACATCCGTTTTTTATTACAGTCTGGATTGAATCAGGTTCTAGCTCTAAGGACAGCTCCCTATTCACTACACCACACTGCCTGTCAGTTTTTACGCATAGAACAAATACTCCAGTATTTGCATACTTATAAACAAAGAATTGTCAGAGGAGGGGAGTGGAGCATTATCTTTTGTAGTTTTTTGGTGTGAGACTAGTTAACTAGAAATTAAAGGATTAAGTTAATGTAAATCATTGGCTTTCATTTTCTTTCGGTTAAGAAAGGGAGAAGGGAAAAGCAATGGTAAAATAAAATTTTTATGGTTTAATTTTTTATAAAATACTGCTTCTGTTTTATCCTTCAGGTAATATTACCAAAGCATGTCTAATCTTGAGAAGTATAGGAGAGTTAAAGCATAAACCAGGCATGGTGAGTTGTAACTAACATACACAAGATGAGAAAAGGAAATGAAATAGGGACTTGTTGGGAACTGTCATTTGTTTAGTTTATATTGCTCAAGAATTAACCCAGAGCACTGTAATTTCAGCTCAAGGCATTTTTATTTCTTGTGTAAGACTGGAGCCAGATTACAGACGTATATTGAGTGCCATAGGCAAATTCTTTATCTGAGCTGGGTTCAGCAAAATAGTTTATGAACTTCTGAAAATCCTTTCTAAATATCAAATGAAGGTGGTACAAAGTTATTGGGAAATGGAGGTATGGGTTTAGGAGATTAAGGAGACTTAGAGAATTAGTGAGGCTCAGTAGTCAAGTTGGGGTTTAGGATTATTCTGTAATAGGTAATATATTTTTAAAATATATGTTAAGTATTTTTTATCACCAACATTTTTTACTATATTCTTCCTTTTTCTTCCAGAGACATTACTTATAACAAAGTTTTGTTGTTGTTTTAAAAGAGAAAGAGAAGAAAAGCGATTTAGTAAAATCAAACTATATCGAATCTGGGGGAAGACATTAGACATCTACATTCCATACTCATAGACCCCACCTTGCTAGTCTACAAAGGGATTTGGGGCGAGGGATCTTATGTTTTCTTTGGGGCTAAACTGGTTCTCTGTATTTTGCAGCATTTCATTTCAGTAGTTTTGTGGTTACTTTTCCATTTATGTTGTTCTGATCATTATGTATATTTTTTTCCTGTTTCTGTTTTTTCTACTTTATATCATTTTATAAAAGTCTTTCTGTGGTTTTCTCTTTTTTAAGTAAAAGGGAATGTTTGTTTACATTTATAAACAAGTTTCAAAAACAAAAGGCAAATATATACTGCTACTAATGTGATAACTGTTTTCAGTATGCCAACAGCCTTTATGCTATATGAAGATTTCTTAAGATTAGGAAAATCAACACATCATTAAGCTAACAGAATTAGACAAAATCACCAAGACAAGAAAGTAACCAGATTTAGACAAAACCAAAAAGGACTAAAATTTTGTTGTATTTTGAATTAATCAAATTTGCCTGAAGTAACAAAACTTTCATCATATAATTTATGTCCTTCATTAAATAATGTACTACATTTTGAACATAAAATTAATTAGCAAGTTTTTCAAAATTTTAAGGAGTTGAAGTTATTTTCAGAATCATTTAGTAAATTTATTTAAGAACCCAGTTAGGATAGAGGCCGTAACTTCATTAAAACACCATTGCTGATGTTTTAACAAAGCGTTAGTGTTAACTATTTGGCTATTACTATTAGCAATTTATCTACAGTGTTTAACAAGGTAAATTGGAGTCATGGTAGCCATGCTTCTATATTTATCACATGTTCATTATTTCTTAAAGCACAAGTGACATACCTTTGCATTCATGTACTGCAATTTGTTTAGCCATCCCCTAAGTCAGTAGATATCTACTTTGTTTCCAGTGAGTTGCTATTATAAACAGTTTTCCTTTCAATATTTTGGCTTGTATAGAGACGTTTTGCTCTATATATACCTTTGCTCAATTATACCTTCTTGAGGTATAATTGTAGAAGTGGAATTTTTCGGTCAAAGGGTATGTATATAGACGTTTTAGTCACTTTATTTGCATAATTTGAAATTGCTTTTCATAATGGTTGTACTACTTTACAGCTTTACCCACAGTGAATTGGTGTCACTTTGAAAGGCAAAATATTAATGGATAATTGATTGTAGCAGGTTAAGCAAATGTTTCAGTTGCCTGCCTAGAAGCCACAAAGCTTCCACAAAAAATTCCTCACACTTTCAGTGTAGTAATGACTAGCTTACTTGTGGTCCTTTAGAGTAATGTCAGGGTTCTCAAAGTACAACAAAATAAGATAGACTTGGTCCTGATTCTGTAATATTTGTTTTCAGTTATAAAACCATGTGTCCAATTGTAATTACTTCACAGCTAGGGTAATTTAATGATAGTTGGTTTAACTGTTTTGATTTGCTTATTACTCATGTTGGTTTAAATGTAATATTCATGTTCACCCTTATTTTAATATAAATGTACATCTGTGACAGTGCTATTGTAGATAGGTCTAAGGAGTTGTCATTAGATTGTTGTAGTAGCGTTTTGTGAGTTGGAAATTCTATTTTTGCAACTTGGTGCCATATTTTAATTATCAAATTATACTTTGGAATCATCAAATTTACTTTGGAAAAGTGAGAATTTTTTTTTCTGTCTAACCTTCTTGAGTAACAGAATTAGATTGTGTTATTTATTTGCATGGAAATAAATGGATTTCATTGAGAAATTTGTTTAGGATAGTAAGTAAATGCGTATCTACAAAGTAATAATGGGGACTCACTCAGAAATAAAGTGCTAAATTTCAGCCTGATCAAAAATTCTTGAAAATCAGGGGACTTTTCCAAATACTTAGAGCCATTTTCTCGATAGAAATTTGTCATTGAAATCTAACACTGGGCTGCTTTTATGCTATAAGGGCAGACAGCTAAAAGGCCCAGTCCTTGTAGCAAGAAATGTAATTATCAGTACACTGGAGACCTGTGCTTGTAAGTAAACTGAAGAACTTCTTGGATTCCCTGGAATCAGAGATTCCCTGGAAGTGACCTACAGTAAACCAGGAAAACAGCTTTTGTACAAGAAGGGTCCACCTCAAATCAAGATCATCTGCTGCTGAGTAGACAGTCTTCATGAGTTGTGACTAAAATAATTTATTTCCTGAGAGATAGTCTTTTAGTGAGGCTTGTCCTTGGGTGGCAGTTATTGGAGGCTTTGTACTCAAAACTTTCAGCTTTTCTACCACAGAAGCACAACAGTGACAATAATAATTCATACTACCTTACAGAGTTTGGAGGCTCACAAAACTCCTTCACAACAGCATTGTGATAAGTGAATATTGCCGGTATGATCCTGATTTTTACAAATAAGAAAAATGATGCCCAGAGAGGTTAAGTGATTTGCATATTGCTACAGAGGTAGCAAATGTTGATTTTAAATAACTATTAACTGTAAAAGTTATAACTTGCTATGTTCCTTAGAGGAATGGAATGATAAATATTTAATAATATATTTCATAAAACACTTGACAGTCTTTTTTATTCCTCACAATTCTTTCTTTTGGGAAGTGCTTTAGTTAGCCCTAATAATAGCATTGTAATACACATGGGATAGTTAGTGACAAAGGATCCAGAATATGTTGACTATTACCTCCTTAATGTTTTTGATTTTAGAAAAAATTCTAAAAAATTCATGATTAATTTTACTATATATTAATTTTAAAAATTTGACTGTGTATAGGTGTCTGCATTAGTAACAATGTACAGTCATGAAGAAGATATAGATAGTGCCATTGAGGTCTTTACACAAGCTATCCATTGGTACCAAAATCACCAGGTAAGTAAACTTAATTGGGAATTGTTTTGACTACAGTAATTATAAACTTCAAATTAAATAATTAAATAAATTTGACTAAATGGTCTTTGATGAGGTCCTTGCCAGCTTTGGATCTGAGCCTTTTTTTTTTTTAAACTTTGTTTGAATTTGTCTCAAGTACAGGTAAAACTCCTCCCCTCCCCCAAGTACTGGCACCATTCAAGAAGATTAAAAAATAACTTTTTTTTATGACAATTTACTTATATACTGCCCTGTCCTGCACTTCTCTGGATTTAACAATTAGTTCTTTTTGTAAAATAGGACTGCTTCCATAAAGGCAAGTAACTCCCTGTGATAATGCCTTATGTAGAATTTGTAATAACTTTTAAAAGAAAGTATGGTCAAACTCTGTAGACTGACCTTTGGGGATGTTTGCTGACAGCATATTTAGACATTGTTATCTTCACCATTCTAGTTTTTAAATCCTAAGTCAATTATGAAAACAAAAATCCCCAAACAAAATCAGATAAAGCTAGGCAAATCTCATCTGCTTTTTTGGCAATTATCACCTTGTATTCTTGAACCAAAAAAACCCCAGCAGTTGAGAAGACTGAAAGGAGAGGCAGTGTGGCATAGTGAATAAAGAGCTGGCTTTGGAGTCAAGTAGGCCTTAGTCCAAGGCCCTCTTCTGACAGGAACACTCTTGTGGCCTTGGACAAGTCCCTTAAACTGAGTGCCCTTAGGCGTTTCTAGAGATTTATAAACTGCAAATCCTGTTGGTTAATGTTCTAACCAGGAAGCACAGTAAAAAAAAAAGTATGATCAATATAGTTAATGGAGAAACTACTAGTGTGGTGCCATGTTGAAGGGCCAATCAATAACAACATTGTAGAGAATTTATTATTTCTCTTTTTGTTTTCCTTTAGAATATAGGGCAAATAGAGACTAAATTATTAGAGCTAGGGGAAGGCTATAGCATTTTCAGCTATGTCCCTCAAGTGTAGTAAGTCCTGAGAAAAAGAAATCCTGATACTACATCATGACTTCAGATAGTCCAGGAAGGATATTAGGGAAAACTCTCACTTTGTCACTCTTAAGTGAGTCATGACTGTCCACAGACTTCTTTCCCACTTAAGTCATTGTCCATGCCATAGATTATGTAGATACTAATTCACTATATCAAAAGATCTGTTAATAATCTCCCTACTGTATTACATGATCTTCATGAGTCGCTATGACCAGAATACAGCCTCACGTTGGCCAGTCTTCTGGGTATGAGCCTTTTCAAATTCATCTACGTTGTCATGAACACCAATCTGTTGCCAGATCTGTACTTGAAACCTTTACAAGTTTTCCCCCTAAATGAAGCATCAGATAGGACTTTAGTGGAAGGTTCAGATAAATACATACTGATTAATAAATGCTGCAAATGGAGAACGTGTTGGTCTCTAAAAAATGTTTAACAATTCTGCCAGGAATTTTCTGGTTATTTTTAATAACATTTTAGTACCAGCTGTTCTCAATTTTTAAACTCTTAAAAACACCCATTACTTAGGAGTGGAGCATTTCCCTTTAGTTGGAGAAACCTGGGACCCCTTGCCTTACCACTGCTGGGTTCTTGTGGGGCCTTCTTTACCTCACAGGCAGCTAGGTGGCACCAGAGGATTAGAGCCTTGGGTCTGGAGTTAGGAAATCTGAATTCAGATCTGGCTTCAAGACATTCAATTAGTTGTGTTACCTTTGACAATTCACTTTACTTCTGTTTGCCTTGGTTTCTTCAGCTATAAATAAGGGATAGTAATAGCAACTACCTCCCATGATTGCTGTGAAGATCAAATAAAATAATATTTGTAAATTGCTTGACATAGTACTGGTCACATGACAGGTGCTTAATAAATGTGTATTCCCTTCTCCTTCCCATTTCTAAAGGCCAGTAACAAAGAGATAGAAGAGTCTCTGCTCCCAGGGTTTAGCCCTGACAATAGAATTGGAATGAGTTTATAATTAAGAACAATAGAGGTAGTGGTTAGTTTCTACAGTATTGTTAGTAAGACATTTCAGCTACATGATCACTTTACTATGGAACCTAACCTTTTTGTAACACTACTTCTAGGGGGAAATGGACCCAATTTCAAACACTGTCTTAAAAATAAATATAATACAACTTCCTTTTAAGTTGGATATTATTCTTTTGGTTAAATTATAGTTTGATTTTTCCCCTTTTAAGTGTTCCACAAATAATTGAGGCTATCAGTAAAAGCTAAAATAGAGGAATTAATTAAGAAACAAACTTCTGTGGTCTAAATAGTTGTTATTTCAGTGACACTTGTTAAATATTTTGCCTAAAACTTTCCTTTTTTTAATAAATCTGCAGCCAAAGTCTTCTGTTCATTTGTCCTTGATAAGAGAAGCTGCCAACTTCAAACTCAAATATGGGAGGAAGAAGGATGCAATTAGTGACCTGGAGCAACTATGGAAGTAAACTCTTATGGGTGCAAGGGTGGACATCTTAATTACTTTGCCATCATTTTATGTCCATGGGCTTGTGCTGTTTTTTTGTTTTGTTTTGAACCTTCATCACCTGACACATAGGCTTTTAATAAATGCTTATTGATTAGTTCATATGTTTAGAATTTTTGTGTTTAAGTTTTTCATTTTTCTCTCAGGCAAAATCCAAAAGATATTCACACTTTGGCACAGCTTATCTCTGCTTATTCGCTGGTAGATCCTGAGAAGGCAAAAGTGTATCCTTTTTTTTTTGTACAGATCTGAATCCATACACCTGATAAAATCCATTACTTCCAATCTGTATTTAAGATTGGTGGATATTTTAGAATGATGTGTTCGTTAAGCCATGCTGTTAGGATTCTGATATACCACTTACCTAAAGAAGGGATGCAGCCTTTCTCCCATGCCATTTTTGTCAGGATATGTGGTGCATAAATACATCTGACGATGTAGCTTGCTGATGTTATTATATTCTTTAAATTTTTATTCTATTTGGAATGTAAGGACTTTATTTGCTAATGCTGAAAAATGAGACTGCCTTATGAATAGTACATGTATTCATTTTGATTTCCTGAACTCTTAACTGTGTCACAGTCTTAGTAAACACTTGCCCTCATCAGATAGTATGTCCCTGAAAGTAGACGTAGAAGCACTTGAAAATTCCCATGGTGCTACATACATTCGGAAAAAAGGCGGGAAGCTTACTGGAGAGAACCCACTGAAAGAACAAGGGTAATGATTTTCATTGTTAATACTAATGAAGACCTTATAAAAAACACCAGCAAATAACAAACAAAAAATGGCGATATTTTATATTAAAATCAGGTTGGGTAAAGAGGGAACTAGTTAGATGTTCTTTATGGCACGCCAAAGAATTTCATGCGAGCTACAGCTTGTGCAGGCTTGGCCTAGATAATAGTTTAGGTTCATTTCAACTCTAATAGTTATACTCTACCAGCTTATACAAAAAAATGTCCTTTTGATTGTGGATATTTAGACCTGAAGTGGTCACTCAATTTTGTTATCTATTTAATTGGTATTTACTAGCTTTTCAGGTTGGTTTTGAAATGTTTACTTAAATTGCTTCGCTCCTCAAAATAGGCTGTAAAGTGTTTAGTTTCTTTTTCTGCATTCTTGTCAGGTGTAGAATAGCATGTTACGTAGTAGGGGAAAAAGCTATGGATTTGGAATCAGAACTTGGGTTCAAATTCAGATCCTGACCTTAAACATGTTGCTTAGCATCTCAGAGTCTTAGTTTCTTTGTGTGTAAATTAAGGTGCTGGATTAAATTATATCAAACCCTCTTAGCCTGTTGGCACTGTGTTTTTTGTTTTGTCTCTAAATATTTTAATTTTTTAAAATTGTGTGTGAAATATTTATTCCTAAATAAAAATGTTTCCCAATGGCCATTCTGTTCTCTAAAGTATGCATGTAATATTGATGGTTTAGTATGTTTCTTATTTTCTTCACTAAATTGTAAGTTTTAGAGGGGAGGCTCCATAATTTATATTCTCCGTTTTCTAAATTATCTTGCAAACAATAGATGCTTCATAAATATTTTATATTTTTGTTATTTTTCTAGGCAAGGAGACATAAAGAAAAAGAAGAAAAAAAAGAAAGGTAAATTTGTTTTACATATTCCAATAAATTACTGTTGGATGAAACCAAGTTTTCTTTCCATCTTTTAGTGAATCCCTCTGGAAGAAACATTCTTTTTTCCTTTCATTTCCTTATAGCTAGAGTTGTGATTTTCACATTATTGACAATTGTTTCACCATCCAAGTTTGTTCTACAACATTTATAGATACTAGTCTTATATTTTTGTGTAGAAATAAATATTCTTCAGATTGTGGGTAAAAGTTGTGGTCTTCCTTAACTGACTTTGACTAAACTTAGTTCCTGATGCATTGTTATATAAGGCACTTAGTCTTCCTTCTTCCCCATAATAAGTACAGATTGCAAAAAGAACCTTGCTTTTCATACTATCTAAAGCTCTCATTGCACTGATATATTTCCTTATGTGTGGATATATCAACAGAGAAATAAATGTGAGGTCAGAAATCTTATCACTTGAGAGAAGGCTCTCACTGAACATTGACTCCTTTAACCAGGGTTTTTAAATTCTATGACTTTGATCTTTGTAAAAAAATTTAGTTTGGGATTAGAAAATATTCCCAAACTAAATTTTTTTACAAAGATCAAAGTCATAGAGTTTTACAGTTGAGAGGGACCTCATCAGCTATTTAATCCAACCTGTACAAGAAAAGTGTCCTATGTATAGATACATCTAATCTCTGCTTCTAAGACCCTCAGGGAGGGGGCAACGCCCATATTGTGTGGCAGCCCATTCCACTAATTGTTAGGAAATTTTTCCTGAGATCTAGACTACATTTTCCTCTTTGCATCGTCTACTGATTTATCCTGGTTCTACTCCACCCCAAGGGATCAGTCACAACTAACATGATCCCTTTTCCTCATAAGACTTCTTTACTTGCTTGAATAAAACTGCTGTATGTTTCCCCTGGAGTCTTCTCTTGTCTTGACAATCCCAGGTGTTTCAACCCATTCTTCTTGACAGAGTCAGAGTTCTTCACCATTCTAATTGCCCTCCTTGGGATGCTGTCCAGTTAATCAGTGTCCTACCTGGATTGTGGGCTGTGAAACTGAACATCATACTTAAGATGTGGTCTGATCAAGGCAGAGTATAGGGAAGACTATTACCTCCATCTTTTTTTAAATGAAGTGTACATGTGAAATCATGCAAAACATTTTCATCTTATATTGCAAAAAAAAAAAAAGGAAAGTGAGAAAATTATACTTTAATTAGCATTAAGAGTTCATCAATTTTTTTCTCTGGAGGAAGATAGCATTTTTTCCATTATGAGTCCTTTGGAATTGTCTTGGATCACTGTATTGATCAGAGTAGCCAAGTCTTTTGACAATTAATCATTATTACAGCATTGCTGTTACTGTGCTCAATGATCTCTCATTTCTTTTTACTTCACTTTGTATCAGTTCATACAGGTCTTGCCATGTTTTTTTCTGAAACCACACCACCATTTCTTATATCACATCATGATCATACACCACAACTTGTTGAGCTATTCCCCAATTGATGAGCATTTTCTCAATTTCCAGTTCTTTGCTACCACAAAAAGAGTTGCTGTAAATATTTTTGTACACATAGGTCCTTTTCCTTTGATCTCTTTGAGGTACAGACCTTGTCGTGGTATTTGAAAGATCAAAGAGTATGCACAGTTTTATATATAGACCTTTGGGCGTAGTTCCAGATCGTCCTCCAGAGTGATGCTCTAGAACTCCACCAGTATTTTTCCTCATCAGCTCCAGCATTTGTCATTATTGATAAGTGTAAGGTGGTACCTCTAGTTGTTTTAATTTGCCTTTCTCTAATCAGTAGTGATTTAAAGCATTTTTTTTGTATGACCATAGATATCTTTGATTTCTTGGTTTGAAAAACTGCCTGTTCATATCTTTTGACCATTTCTCAATTGGAGAATGACTTGTATTCTTGCAAATTTGACTTAATTCTTTATGTATTTGAAAAATGAGGCCTTCATCATAGAAACTTGCTGTAAAAGATTTCCCCCCAGCTTCCTGCTTTTCTTCTAATCTTGACTGCATTGGTTTTATTGGTATAAAATCTTTTCAATTTAATCAAAATCCATTTTACATTCTCTAATGCTTTCTGTGTCTTGTTTGGTCATAAAGTCTTTCCTTATCCATAGATCTGATGGGTAAAATTTTCTGTGCTCCCTTAATTTGCTTATATCACTTATTATGTCTAAATCATGTATCCATTTTGACCTTGGCATATGGTGCAAGATGTTGGTCTATACCTATTTGCTGCTAAGCTGCTTTCCAGTTTCTCCAGCAATTTTGGTCAAATAGTGAGTTCTTACCCCAAAGCTTGAATCTTTGGGTTTATCAAACTTTAGATTACTATGGTCATTTGCTTCTGTGTATTATGTACTTAATCTATTTCTTTGATCCACCACTCTATTTCTTAGCCAATACCAGAATGTTTTGATGATTACCTATGTTATATAGTTTGAGATCTGGTACTGCTAGACTACTTTTCTTGAAATTCTTTTCATTGATTCCCTTGATATTCTTGACCTTTTGTTCTTCCAGTTGAATTTTGTTATTTTTTCTAGCTCTGTAAAATGATTTTTGGTAGTTTGATTTGTGTGGGACTGAATAAGTAAATTGATTTAGATAGAATTGTCATTTTGATTATATTGGTTCAGCTTACCAATGAGCACTTGATATTTTTCTGGTTGTTTAGATCTGACTTTGTGTGAAAAGTGTTTTATAATTGTGTTCATATAGTTCCTGGGTTTGTTTTCTTGGCAGGTAGATTCCCAAGTATTTTATATTGTCTGTAGTTATTTCAAATGGAATTTCTCCTTCAATCTTTTCCTGCTGGACATTGTTGATATTTGTAGAAAGCTGAAGTTGTTAATTATTTCACCTAGTTTTTTTTTTTGATTCTCTGGGATTTTCTAGGTATGCCACCATACCGTCTGCAGAGAATGATAGTTTTGTTTCCTTGTTGCCTAGTTTAATTCCTTCAATTTCTTTTTCTTGTCTTACTGCTGTAGTTGGCATTTCTAGTACAACATTGAATAATAGTGGTCGTGATGGGTATACTTGTTTCACTCTTGATCTTACTGGGAAGGCTTCTAGCTTTTCCTTGTTACAGATAATGCTTACTGATGGTTTTAGATAAATCATTTTAAGGAAAGCCCCATTTATTTCTATGCTTTCTAGTGTTCTTAACAGGACTGAGCGTTGTGTATTGTCAAAAGCCTTTTCTGCATCTGATGAGATAATTATGATTTTTATTGTTTTTTGATATTGATATGGTCAGTTATACTGATCATTGTCCTGATATTGAACCAGCCCTTCATTCCTGGTATAAATCCCCCCTGATCATAACTTACAATCTTTGTGATGTATTGCTGTAATCTCCTTGCTAGCATTTCATTTAAAATTTTTGCATCAATGTTCATTAAAGAAATTAGTTTATAGTTTTCTTTCTGTGGTTCTGTTCTTTCTGGTTTAGTATCAGCACCATATTTGTGTTAATAGAAATTTGGTAGGACTCCTTCTTTGCCTATTTTTCTAAATGTTGATATTGAAATTAATTGTTCTTTAGATATTTGGCAGAATTCACTTGTGAATCCTTTTGTACCTGCTGATTTTTCCTCAGAGAGCTCATTGATGGCTTGTTCAGTTTCTTTTTCTAAGACAGCATTATTTGAGTATTCCATTTCCTCTTCTGTTAATTTGGACAAATTATATTTTTGTAAATATTCATCCATTTCACTTAGATTGTCAGATTTATTGCCATATAATTGAGCAGAATAGCTCCTAATAGTATTTTAATTTCATCTTTATTGGTGGTGAATTCACCCTTTTCATTTTTAGTACTGGTAATTTAATTTTCTTCTTTTTTGAAATCAAACTAATCATTGGTTTATCTTTTTTTTTAAATAAGGCCAGTTCCTAGTTTTATTTGTTAGCTCAGTGGTTTTCTCACTTTCAGTTTTATTAATCTCTCTCCTTTAATTTTCAGGATTTCCAGTTTGGTATTTAATTAGGGGTTTTTATTTGTTCTTTTTCTAGTTATTTTAATTGAATGCCTAATTCATTGAACTGCTCTTTCTCTGTTGATGTGTTCAAAGAATCCCATAAATTTTGGTATGTTGTTTCAGTTGTTGTCATTCTCTTCAGTGAAGTTAATTATCGTTTCTATGATTTGTTCTTTAACCCACTCATTATTTATGATTGGATTATTTATTTTCCAGTTAATTTTAATCTGTTTCCACAGCCCTTTATTGAATGGAATTTTTATTGCATTATCATCTGAAAAGGATGTATTTAATATTTCTGCTTTTCTGCATTTGTTTGTGAGGTTTTTATGGCCTAATACATGGTCACTTTTTGTGAAGGTGCCATGTACAGTAAGAAATATGTACTACTTTTTGTTCCCATTCAGGTTTCTCCAGATATCTATCATATCTAATTTCTCTAAAATTCTGTTCATTTCCTTAACTTCTTTCTTGTTTGTTTTATAATTGGATTTAATCTGGTTCTGAGAGGGGAAATTTGAAGACCCCTACTATAATATTTTTGCTATCTATTTCCTCCTGTAACTTATTTAACTTTTCCTTTAAGAATTTGAATGCTATGCCATTTGGTGCGTATGTTTCATATTAATATTACCTCATTGTATTTGGTACATTTTAGCAAAATGTAGTTTCCCTGCTTATCTCTTTTAATTCGATCTATTCTGTTTTTGCTTCTACTTTATCTGAGATCATGATTGCTACCCCTGCTTTTTTTACTTAGGTGTGAAATATAATAGATTCTGCTTCAGCCCCATATTTTTATTGTTGTGTGTCTATTCCAAGTGTGTTTTTTGTAAATATATTGTTGGATTCTAATTTTTAATCCATTTTGCTATCTGTTTCCATTTTATGGGTGAGTTCATCCCATTCACTATTTTTATTACTGTGTATTTCCTTCCTCCTTTTTACCCCTATTTATCCTTCTGTCTCCCTCTTTTTACCCTGTTCCTCCTCAGAAATCTGTTTTGCTTTTGACCTCTGTCTCCCTTAATATGCCCTACGTTCTAGCAGCCTTCCCCCTTCTCTTTTTTTTATTTTTTTTTAATATAAATTTATTTATTTTTAGTTTTCAATATTCACTTCCACAAGTTTTTGAGTTCCAAATTTCTCACCCCTACCCCAAGATGGCATGCATTCTGAATATCCCTTCCCCTAGTCTGTCCTCTCTTCTATCTCTCTCCCCTTCTATTTTCCTGTAGGGCAGGATAGACTTCTGTACCCCATTTCCTGTATTTCTTATTTCCCAGTAGCATGTGAAAACATTTTTTTTAAACATATGTTTTTAAAACTTTAGGTTTCAAATTTTTCTCTCTTCCTCCCTCCCCACCTACCCTCATTGAAAAGGCAAGCAACTCAATATAGGTTGTACACGTGCAGTTATGCAAAACACTTCCATAGTAGACATGTTGTGAAAAACTAACTCTGTTTCCCTTAATCCTATCCTGCCCTCCCATTTATTCTATTCTTTCTTTTGACCCTGTCCCTCCTCAGAAGTATTTACTTCTGATTACCCCCTTTCCCAATCTGCCCTCCCCTCTATTATCCCCCCTGCTCTCTTGTCCCTTTCTCCCCCTATTTTCCTGTAGGGTAAGACAGATTTCCACACCCAATTGAATGTGTATTTTATTCTCTCCTTAAGCCAAATCCTATGAGAATAAGATTCCCTCATTCCCTCTCACCTTCCCCTGTTTCCCCTCCACTGTGAGAGACTTTTCTTTTCTGTTTTTTTTTTTGTGAGATAATTTACCCCATTCTACCTCTCCCTTTCTTCTCCGAGTATCATCCTCTCTGATCCCTTAATTTTATTCTCCGGATATGACCCCTTAATTTTCAGCTCACCCTGTGCCCTCTATCTATCCATATCTCCCTTCTCTTATCACCCTTTTCCTCCTACTTTCTATAAGGTAAGATAGGTTTCTATACCCAATTGAGTCTGTATGTTATTTCTTTTTTCAGCCAATTCCAGTGACAGTAAGATTCAAGCCACCCTCCCCTCCATTTTCGCCTCCACTAAAAAAGCTGTTCCTTGCATGCCTCTTTTATGTGAGATAACTTTCTCCATTCTTCCTCTCCTCCTTCTCCCAATGCATTCCTCTTATTTTTTTTTTAAACATCATTCCATCATAGTCAACTCATACCCCTGCCCTCTGTCTATGTAGACGACTTCTAAGTGGCCTAATAATGATAAAGTTCTTAGGAGTTATAAGTATCATCTTCCCATATAGGAATGTTAACATTTTAATCTTATTGAACCCCTTATGATTTCTCCTTAATGTTTACCTTTTTATGCTTCTATTGAGTATAGTATTTGAAAGTCATATTTTCTATTCAGTATTCATTTTCATAAGGAATCTTGAAAGTCCTCTATTTCATTAAATTTCCATTTTACCCCTGAAGGATTATCCTCAGTTTTGTTGTATAGATTATTCTTAGTTGTAATCCTAGCTACTTTGCTTTCCAGAATATGATGTTCCAAACCCTCCAGCTCTTTAATGTAGAAGCTGCTAAATCTTGTGTTATCCTGACTATGGTTCCATGGTATTTGAATTTTTTTTCTGGCTGCTTGCAGTGTTTTCCCCTTGATCTGGGAGCTCTGGAATTTGGGTATAATATCCCTGGCAGTTTTCATTTCAGGACCTCTTTCAGGAGGTGATTGGTAGATTGTTTAAATTTCTATTTACCTTCTAATTCTAGGATATCAGGGCAATTTTCCTTGATAATTTCTCGAAATTTGATGTTTAGGCTCTTTTTTTATCATGGCATTCAGGTAGTCCAATAATTCTTAAATTATTTGTATTACTTGGCCACAGCAATCCATGAAGGCTTACAGGATAGAGGGTTTTGGAAGCATGTTAGTGGAGGGAGTTTCTAAATGATGAAAATGTGAATCTTTGAAATATGAAATTAATATCAGAAATAAGTAGACATTCAACTCCTAAAATAATTCACATGGCTTGCTAACCATCCCCACTCAAGAAAAGATGGAGAGAAAATTAGTTATTTAATTTTTGCCAAATGTTATTCTTATTACAGTCTTGGGCATGTTGAGGTACAATAAATTCTTGTTAATTGAGTTTATTCAGTAAGCATTTGTTAAGTACCTGCAGCGTGCCTGCTGTTTGCTAAGGCCCGGGAGATAGCAACACAAAAATGAAAAACAGTCTTTATCTTCATAGAGCTTTCTCCATGATGCTGTAACTGTTTTGCTGGGAATATTTGCATAGATAAGTTAGTAAGTATGTGGTATTTGAATGGAAAGAGTATTAACAGTTATGGAGATCAGGAAATACTTCCTGTAGGAGGTAGCACCTGAGTCTGGAAAGAAGCAAAGGCTTCTCCTAGATGAAGATTACAGAGTATGGTCTAAGCAGATAAGACAGCTTATTCACAGACAACGAGGTGGGAGCTGGAATGGTGAATTTGAGAAATAACAGGTAGGCTAGTTTGACTGGAATGTATATGTGAATTGTGAATTTGTCTGGAAAGGTAAGTTGAAGCCGAATTAACTTTTAAATATAAACTTTATGACTTTCTATTTTATCTTAGAGACAATAGTATAAAAGCACATATAATATGGTGTGATGGCAGTAGGTACCAGTAACCTAAATATTTGGAGTTCTAGATCTCTTGATAACTTTCTAGTTTTTACTTAAATTAATCATTGCTTACAGCTTGATTTTTGTTTTTTCAGTTTTGGCTTTTATCTCAGAACAAAATCATAATATATGTAAACTCTTTCATTATTTATTTCTTTAAACAGGAAAATTACCCAAGAATTATGATCCTAAAGTTACCCCAGATCCAGAGCGATGGCTTCCGATGCGAGAACGTTCCTACTACAGGGGAAGAAAGAAGGGTAAAAAGAAGGATTTGATAGGAAAAGGGACACAGGGAACAGCTTCAGCAGCTTCATCCGAATTGTAAGTGATAGCTATTTGCACAGTGCTTTCAGTCTCAAAGCACTTATCATTTTACTGATTAAAGGGCATTTAATGCCTTGTATCATCAGTAGTCTTCAAACATTTTCAATCACAAGCTCCTATTGGTTAAAAAAAAAAATGAACATACCCCACCCAATATGTGTTTAGTTACTTATTTGGAAGTTATAAAAATGCCCTTTTGTACTAATTACACAGATTACAAAACTTACACAAAAAAATAAATTATAAAAGGGTAAGAAAAAAAAATATTTAATCTTTGAGTTAATATAGGGAGCCGGTGGAATTTATTGAGTAGTTTTAACATGGTCAGATTTGTGTTTAGGAAGCTAGTTTTTATTGCTGTGTGGACAGTGACTAAGAGAGGGGAAAGATTTGAGGTGAGGAAAGAGGCTATTTTAGTAGTGCAGTCTAGAGGTGACAAGGGCTGTACCAGGCAAAGAGGAGGAGAGGGATGCCAACTTGACAAGATGTGGCGACTGATTGGATGTGGAAGCCTGATGCCTAATCTTAAATTTGACTGACCTGCCAATTTTCTCATCACTGAAATGGCTGATAAGGAAAGAAACTTGAAAAACTTCAGAGACTTTTGAACTCTCTTGCACTTTGAGGAATTACATAACTTACAATTTTACAGAATTTCAAATGGTTTTGTTGACCATCATATCAACCTCTTGATCAATCCATCAATTACAGTATGTGAATACTTTATTCTGTCTATATCATGCTCTCCAAATTAAGATAATTGTTAAACTTGAAGGAAAAGTTGTTTTGTTTATTTCACAAAGAAATGGGAACACTTCATTTAAATAGAGAAAGGAATATTTTGTTTAATTGAAGGGAAGCAAAATATGGTTCTTATCTGGTTGTCATGTATACTTGATAGACATATGGTTTTATCTACATAGGTATTCCCTCCAAAGATAAATTAAAATATTGCAACCCTACATATTAGCCCATTCTGTGAGACTCTTGTTCGTATCTTTCTATAAGTATGCCACAGAGGGTACAGTCAGTGTGTTAGAGAAAAAAATTCACTTGCTTTTGATATGATAGATAAATGTAAATAATGACCATATTTAAAGTTATCAGTTTACCACTTAATGACATTTTAAAAGAAGTGTGCATTATTTGGGGAAAGCGAGTAAGGCTTCAGGAATATACTTTTTATTTGCTTTTCCTGTGTTGGATAAATTAATAAGCCTTATTTAATCTGGCCTATTTCAGGGATGCTAGTAAAACTGTGTCCAGCCCACCCACTTCCCCGCGGCCTGGGAGTGCTGCTGCAGTATCTGCCTCTACAAGTAATATAATACCCCCAAGGCACCAGAAGCCTGCAGGGGCTCCTGCCACAAAGAAGAAACAGCAACAGAAAAAGAAGAAAGGTGGGAAAGGAGGCTGGTGATTTGGACATTCATATCACAGTCTATTTTTTTTATCTTTTCCCACTGTAAGGCACCAGGAACATAATAAAGGTCGAACAGCAACAAGCACAGGGCTTTTTTATTCCCCTCTTAAGTTGACTTAATGTTCTGTTTAGTTTTCTGTGCTCTCTGCTTCCAGGAGTCATAAGTGTCATGCCTTTCAACTCCATGCCGCCTTAACTCTCAGTTTACCTTTGTGTACCTTTGTGCAGAGTTAAGAGGATGTGGGGCAGTTGAGTATTTGCCCGATGTAACCATCTGCTGTCCCCTGCTCTTTGTGGGCCCCCCCTGGCTCTTCCCAGCTTCACAGATAAGGCGTGTTCTCCAAGTTCTTTCCAGCTCATGTTAAAATTGGAACCTACTTACACTAGTTTCAGCTGACTCTGAAGACCCACTTGTTGCATTCACCTTCCACTTATTAAAGCATGATTTGCTAGGAGTAAAGAGGCTGAAAATGGAGTTCTCCAAGCATGCTAGCAAGCTGCTTGGAAGCATCACTCCATGAAAAGGGGACCAGGACCTTCCCTGGCTTCTTCACAGCTAAGTGGTTGCAGGGCATTTTTTCAGTTACTTGTTTTCAGTGATTGTTAAATGTTAGGGGACTTGGGTGGTTCATGCTATGTTATTATTTTTATAAATATGCAGCCTTTCTGTGTCTCAGAAGTTAACAACATACTGTATTGACCTAGAACACTCAGCTCAAGAAAGAAAATGGCCATCATCAGTATGGTGGGCAGTGTACTCCAGCATCCCGTGCTCTAGCAAAGGAATTCGTTTCATCCTGTCTCATACAAAAAAGATGTTCCCATGCAGATACATGGGCATTTTTTTTTATACCGTACAGGTTGGTGAGAGGTAATTCACACAGCAGGTCGGTATTATTAGCAGGTCAGTGTTGAGACCTAACAAGGAATTGTATACCTGTGATAGGTGCTATCCTTCAAACAAGCAGCTACAACTTTCTAGTTGTGGATTTCTGATACTCATGTCCCCCCCAAATTGATGAAGTATTCTCTCATACTCAGCTTGCTCTTTAGAAGTGTTGCCTATGCCTTTCCCTCATAAGCCGCTATGTTTAAACAGAATTTTTTTTCTTGTTGAACTGTTTAGCTCTGTGCTGCTTTTTTATTACTAGTCATTTGATGTGTCCCAAGACCATTTTAAAGTCCAACAAACATTGCCTTGTGGTTACATTATTTCATCCTTGTTAATAAAGTACTGCTAGACTTCGGTCTCGACATTGCTACCAAAACTTCTTCACCATAGTTTTCAGGATTTTTCCTCATTGCTGGGTGAGAGAAACAGGGAAAACTTCCTAGCGCTTCCTTTTTGGATCTTGAAACAGGAAGGATTGATTGTGATGAACACATGAAACAACATCTTGAACTCAGCCAGAATAATGTTATTTTTGGTATGAGTGAAAAAAGTTAATTTCTTCTGAGTATATCATATATATTACAGAAATAATTATTAGCAAATGTATGTACTAGGCCTATTTGTAGTTCTCTGGTAAAGGATAATCATTTGTTAGCTTAAGTAAGCCATAAAATCTTGGTAAGAACTCTTTCTGTGAAAATTTTGACCAAGGTATATTTACACATATTAGTGAAATTCAGGCAAACCTCTTAGTTGTCATTATTGTTGGACATACTAATGCCTGTCATGAGCAGACCTCAGATTAAACAAATGATTATAATTGGCAGTAGAAATGTGAATAGGACCTTAATTAATTTTGCTAATAATTGTACCCTGTTGTGGACAGGGATTTTGCCAGTGACATATTTTGTATAAATTTGTGTGTGAATGTATGTGTGTGTGTGTGTGTGTGTGTATATATATATATATATATATGCATATATACATATATACATATGTGTGCAAACACACATATGTACATACATGTATATGTGTGTATATATATGTATATGTATACATATATGTGTGTATATATATGTATGTATGTGTATATATATATACATATATATATGTGTGTGTGTGTATATATATACATATATATGTATATAAAAATCTATGTGGATCCTTCCATTCACTGTGACATTTTAAAATAAAACATTCTAGCAGTGAATATGGATGAAAGCGTCCTGGGTGTCAGGATTTTTGTGGGAGGCTTTAAGTGTATTAAAAGTTGAGTATCCTTTATTTCATTCTATCTAAAGATGAATTGTTTTCAACGTGTCATCTCCTTGCACCCTCCAAAATCTAAGTATAGACATGATATCCTGAGAGAGGCCACACAGTTTAAACTATTAAAAATTCACCATGAATTTTTAGTCCATTGTAGCCTTTAGAAATATGCATGTAGGCCTATCCCTTTTAACAAAGTTTGGGGAAGACCCATGGTGTAATGAAAAGAGCAACTGGAAATGGAGTCATGAGTCCTGAGTTCTAATTTGAGCTCTCCCTCTTAATAGCTGTGTGACCTCAGAGCCTGTTTCCTCATCTGTAAAGTGGGGATCAAAATGCTTGCACTACCTACCTCACAGGGTTGTTGTGAGGATCAAATGAGAAAATGAATGTAAAGTACTTTGTAAACTGTAAAAGGCTATATAAAATGCTGGTTATTATAACTGACCAAGTGGTGGTTAATAAACATTCATAAAGGAGGGGTGAATTTTTCAACAAGTCTTAGTATTCATTCTGTAAATTAGTGATTTTTAGAAACTGGTGTATAGCTCATTTTTCTCCGAAGATTAGCTAATTAACCTTTCTGGCACCATCTACTCGAAGACCGATTCTAGATCCTACCAGAATTTAAGCTTGTAAGCATGAATAAGGGATGAGAATTCTCGGTAGCAAAAGAATAAAGCTCAAATCTGATCCTGGAAAGGCTGATGTGCTTTATATTTAAGCCATTGGGCAGGATTAGAGATCAGAGTTATTCCCTTCACTGATGTCGATTGGCAGTGTAGGAGAAGGCTTTTTTAATAACATAATTTGTCTTCTAGATATGGATTTCTAAACTTTGGACACTTGGTTTATGCTGGGTGCTGGGGGATACAAATGCAAAAAAAGGGGGGTTTCTCAGGGATTGATGTGGTGGTTTCTTCCATTTTTTTTGTTAAGTCGTCCTGGGCACTAGTAAAATGCCTTATGACTAAAGTAAGCAAGCTTCTTTACTTGCTAAGTAGGGGAAATGACTCCGCGGAGCTTGCTTAAGAAAAGGAAGATGAATGATCCCAGTTTTCCTTCCAAGCTGGCAAACTGGAGGAGGCCGTGCGCTTGGCTGAGAAGTTTCTTTGGTTGTATTAGGTTTTTGGTTTTGGTTTTTTGCTCCTGGGCAGGGCTGTGATGACTGAGCGGGCTGGCAGATTGAGCAGAAGAGGTCCGCAGCTATAGACTAAACCGGACGGACTCCGCTAACAGCTGTGGGTGCTGGAGGGTGGGCCCTTTGCGACAGTCCCAGCCCCGTGAGCTGTGCGTGCGCCCCCGGGGAGGGCAGAGGGCGGGACTGCGGGAGTTCGGAGCCTTCACCTCCCTCCCACAGAGGCTCAATTGGATCCTGTTCGCCTTTGGACTCCCTTCGTAGGTGGCGCTCTTGGCACTCAGCCCTGGCCCATGCTCCTCTGCACGGCTGTGGCGTATGCAGCTTTTGTGGCAGGGCCACAGCAGGGGCAAGAGCAGAGACTGCGGGGCCCATGGCCAACCGCAGCGTGAGGGTGGTGGGGCTGGCGGCCACGGCGGCCGCGATGATAGGAGGGGTGATCTACGCCGTGTGGAGCTACGTGTCCTCCCCGCGCCCCACGGCCGAGCCAGAGTTGCCCCGACCACATCTGGGGGAGCCGCGGGCTGCTTCTCCGCAAATGAGGAGGGAGAAGAAAGAAATGCTTGTAGTGGAGGAAAAAGAGGGTGAGAGCAGCACCTCGGCTGTACCATCCCAGAAGCAGTCACAGGTGAGGGGCCAGGTGGGCCGAACTGGGCTGTGCTGCATTGGAAGCGGGAGACCGACTGCTCTCCGGCGGGTGGTAGGACCAAGGCTAGCGAAAGGATGCCTGAAGCTTGGCAAAGTATGCTCTGTGTCAACCTGCGCCCCTCCAACCTTCTCTTTCCCTCGTCCTCTACCGTTCTTCATTGTTGGAAGAGGCCAGACATTGGCTGGTATCTGCTGAGTTATTGTGCATTCTGACTCTTAGGGTCACCACCGCTATTGTTTACCTACCCATTGCAGGTGACTGTCAAAAAGTCAACTTTCAGTTGAGTAACTAAGGGGTCTCAGAGGGTCGATATTAATTGGATCAGAACTGTTTTAACCTTTGGATCTCTGAGGTGGTTGGGAACTTGGCCCCCAGAGGTATTAACTATTCCAAAAGCAATTAACAGTCTCAAGTCTGTTAGGTAGCTATTAATCTGTTGATCTATATGAAAAATAACGTTGTTTTTCCTAGGCAGTATACATCACAGGGTGGCTGGGTGGAGCGGTGGATAGAATGCCAAGCCTGGAGTCAGGATAACCCATCTTTGAGTTGGACATGACTGAGATGACTGAACGATGTGTATAATACCTTTGTGAGACTTGGGCATAACACGGGAAAGTAAATTTGCATTATATTAATTTTAAGTATTTAGTAAATTATTATCAAGAAGAAAGTATCTAAAGTATTCTCAGAAATCGAAGGGATATATATCTTTTTCATGGCCTGTGAATATACAGGCTGTCCCAAAGGTGCTTTTAAGCTGTAGCCCTTTGGGAACCCTGTATTATCTATGTACAAGTAGTTATATAAACAAAAATCTCAGTTTAACAGTCTCTTAAATATGTGACACCAGGAAGTAGAGGACTCAAATGAGTATTAGTTAAATAAAATCCAAAAAGTAGTTTGTAATATACGGCATCTGTAAGATGCATGTCCCAATGGTTAGATGTTTATTTGATAGAGTGACTTGGAGACATGGGACCTGGGAGAAATAGGAATGAATCCCATACTGTGTCCAAGGCAGCATCTGTCATCCATTAGGGGTTGGATAAATATAATTTGACTCTGTGGTCTGACCCCACAAAAGGCTCCAGGACATTGTGTTCTTATTGATAGAGGAGAGAGGGTAAAATTGAAGCAGATGATCAGCAAGGTACCCATTTTGGCTGTTTCTTCTTTCCTTCTTCATCCATCCTATTTTGCCAGGTAATTGAAAAGAGATCTTGCAGTTACAGTAAAGTCTTTTTTAAAACAGTGGGCCTTAACTGGTGTCTGTAAACTTAAAAAATATTTTAATAACTATATTCTAATATAATATATAATAATAATGCATAGTGACATTACATAATGACATAGTAATCCTATGCATTTTGTTTTTATTCATTCTAAAACATTATCTGAGAAAGGGTTGAAAGACTTCATGGGACTAGCAAAGGGTCCATGACTTAAAAAATAGGTTGAGAATCTTCTTTAAAGGGAGAAAGACCAGAATGGAGTAGAACAAACTAGAGAGAGTTTGGGCACTATATTCAATTGGAGTAAATGAAAAATGAGAAATTCTGGAGTGTCCTGATGGCAAAAATAAATAAATAAATAAATAAATAAATAAATAAATAATAGGCTTCATTATGGCTGAGTCCTAATATGTTTTTCTTTTATATGTTGTTTCTTATATCATCACAGTTGTCCTAAGTATCCTTCCCCTGTCCTATATCTTTTTTAAAGAGGAAAAAATATCAGCACAACTGATTGATACATTTAAAAAATCTGAAAACATGTACAATTTGTAACACTTGTGAGCCTCCCACCTCCACAAAGAAGTGGATTAGGGATATCCTCTAGTCTCCGTTCAAATTTTGCTTGATCTTGATAGTTTTGTTACATTTTTTTGTCACGCAAGTTCTTTCCATTTAAATTATTGTAGTTACTGTGAATGTTGTTTCTTGGCTTGGCTTATTTCATTTTCCATCATTTCATGTTGGTCTTTCCATGCTTTTCTGTATTCATTACATACATCATTTATTATAGCACAGTAATATTTTATTACATTCATGTACCACAATTTGCTTAGCAATCCTCCAAGCATCTACTTTGTTTCCAATTATTAACTATCACCAAAAATACAGCTATAAATATTTTAATATATAAGACTTTCTCCTTATCAATGGCTTCTTTGTGGTATAAGCTTAATAATGGAGTCTCTGGATCAAAAGGTATAGACATTTTCATCACTTTCTCCAAATTGCTTTCCAAAATGGCTGTACTATTTCACAGCTCCACCAACAATGTATTAGTGTGCCTATCTTTCTACAACTCCTCCAGCATTGACTACTGCCATTTTTTGTTGTTTTTGCCAATTTCTCAGTATGAGGTAAAGTCTCAGGGCTATTTTGATTTGCATTTCTTTCATTATTATTCTCTTATTATTAGTGAATTGTAGCATTCTTTCATGTGGTTGTGAATACTTTTACAATTCTTCTTTTGAGAAATATGTTTTCATATCCTGTGGATATTAGTTTCATTTATTCATTCATTTGTTGTTTCTAAATCTTGGATACCCAACCCTTTTTGAAAATTTTGATACATGATTATTTTTTTCCCATTCAACTACTTCCCTTCATATCCTAGGTGCATTATTTTTTTCTCTGTGATTAGTTATCTATTTTATCTTTCCTAATTATCTCTCTCTTCTGTGGCTAAGAATACATCTCTTCCCCATAGGAAGGAGAGGTATACGATCTGCTTCTCTTTTGATTTTTTTTTTTATAGTATGATTTTTTAATATTAAGGTCACATGTCCATTTAGCCTGTATTGTGGAAGATGTTGGTATAAGCTTAGTTTCTGCCAGACTGCTTTCCAGTTTTCTCATCAGTTTTTATCAAATAAAGAAGGTTTTCCCTCTAGGTAATTTATGTTTTCCACTTTATCAAACATTAGGTCATTGAGCGCCATTGTTTCTGATTCTACCCTATCTATTCTGTTCCCATTGATCTATCTCTCTATTTTTTTTTGCAAGTACCAGATAGTTTTGATGACTGCTTCTGCTTTATAATATAGTTTGAGAAGTGCTATTTTCCCTTCATCTCTACTTCTTTTCACCATTTCCATCTTTTGTTTTTCCAAATGATTTTTTATTATTTTGTTAAGTTCTATAAAGTATCCCCTTGATAATTTGATTGATGTAACATTAAAAGGATAAATTAATTTTAGAATTATTGTAATTCTTAAAATATTGGCATGGCCTACCCATGACTGAAAATTTCTCTGCATTTTGTAATTGGGTCAATTCAAGCCCTTTTTATGCTTTGGAAGGTCAATCCCCAAATATTTTATGCATTTTATAGTTATTTGGAATGGGATTTCCCTATTATTTCCTATTGGGTTTTATTACTATATAGAAATGCCACTGATTTTTGCGGGTTTATTCTGTCGCTTGAAACTTGGTTAAAACTATTGTCTCAATGAGTATTTTGCCAATTCCCTATGATTTTTCAAGTATACTATCGTGTCATGAGTAAATAGGAATAGTTTTACGTACTCTTTGCTTATCTTTATGCCTTTAATTTCTTTTTTTTGTCTTGTTGCTGTTGTTCGCATTTTCAGAACTATATCAAATAATGATGGGGAGAGTGGGCCTCCTTGTTTCACTCCCATATTTATTAGAAAAGCTTCTAATGAGGTGGAGCCAAGATGGCAGAGTGAAAGCAGTAACTTGCTTGAGCTCTCCTCCAAACCCCTCCAAATACTCATAAAAAATGGCTCTAAACAAATTCTGAAGCAGCAGAACACACAAAAAGACAGAATGAAACAAATTTCCAGCCCAAGACAACCTGGATGATTGATCAGAAACATGTATCACGCTGGGCTGGGAGCGCAGCGTGGGCGCACAGGCCACAGGGAACCTGGAGCAGATCTCAGAGGACTGAATCTTGGGCAGCTGTGGAGGTTTCCAGACTCCTCAATCCACCAATGCCAAAGACAATTTAGAAGGTCAGTGGGAAAAGTCTGTTTCTGTCGGTGCTGAGAAAGGAAGGTGGGGTTTCAGCTCCATTCCCCAAGAACGTGGCCCTGAGGAGTGGGGCAGCTGCTTCCTGAGCTTCCAGCCCACAGACTGAGGGGGAATCCAGTGGCTGATCAGAGAGGGATTGCAGGGATTTCTTTGCCAGTGCTGAGGCAGGAATCTTTCGCTTTGCCCATGTTTGGATCTGGGCCACAGTTTTGGGCAGTGGTGCTGGGGTGAGGAGGAGCACTGGTGTGGAGGAGCTTGTAGTGGCTGTGGAGAGAAGCCCCTCCTCACAGTTACAGGACAGAAAGGAGTACTTGTAGTTGAAGGCCAGGAAAGGAGTAAACACCTCACCCCTTATCATACCACCTTGGAAGAACTGAAAATTTACAGGTCCCTACAAGTATCTCTGAAAACAGCTGTACAAACCCCTGAAGCTTGGGACAGTACATTCTCCACATTGGAAGCAGATTCATACCTTAACAAAGAGTTTAAAACTCAAGTAATTGGCCGGGATCATGAGCAAGCAGCACGAAAAGAGTCAGACCATAGAATGTTACTTTGGTGAAAAAGATCAAAATATACAACCAGAAGAAGACAACAAAGTCAAAGCTCCTACATCCAAAGCCTCCAAGAAAAATATGAATCAGTCCCAGGCTTTGGAAGAGCTCAAAAGGGATTTGAGAAGCAAGTAAGGGAAGTAGAGGAAAAACTGAAAGTGATGCAAGAAAATCACGAAAAACAAGTCAACAGCTTGCTAAAGGAGACCCAAAAAAATACTGAAGAAAATAACACCTTAAAAAATAGCCTAACCCAAATGGCAAAAGAGGTCCAAAAAGCCAATGAGGAGAAGAATGCCCTAAAAAGAAAAATTGGCCAAATGGAAAAGGAAGTCCAAAAGCTTACTGAAGAAAATACTTCCTTAAAAATTAGAATAGAGCAATTGGAAGATAGTGACTTTATGAGAAATCAAGA